GGCAGGTCCGGCCTGAGGAGGGAGTCGGGGCGACTCACCCAGGGCAGGTCCCGGCGGCAGCCGCCCACCCAGGCGGGCAGGGCCTGGCGCTCACAGGAGGCCCTGCTCCTCCCGCTGCGGTCCACGGGAGGAAGCCCCGGGGGGACAGACGGGGGGGGGGGTGTGAAACGCTGGAAAGAGGCTGCAGCACGTGGTGCGGCGCAGGGACACAGCTGGGTGATGCCACCCTGGGAGCTGGCCGCCGGGGGAGGTGGCACGGGGGAGACAAAGGGGTGAGCCGCCACTGGCAGGTGGAGTGGGAGGCAGCCATGCACGGGTCCCTGCAGGAGGAGGGGGGTTTGTGAGCGGAACTGGGGCGGAGGCGAGCCCGGCCCCGGGGCTCCGTTCTCCTGGGGGCAAACCTGGCATCTGTGCCTCGTACCCGGGTGTGGCCTCGGTCCCGCCTCCTGCGGACGGGAACCGGGGCAGACATGAGCCATCGCCCGCCTGGCTGCTTCCGCTCTGGGGCTCCGATCCGGGGACCCTCCCAACGTGGGTGCCAGGTCTCCCCGCGTGAGTCAAGCCACCACCGCGCGGCTACAGTAACACCTTGGAACCCTGCAGCTGCCTGCCGGCTGGTTCCGTCTGAGATACAACTGGCATCGTGGCGTTCGCCCATCCTACAGCGTAAGGACCGAGCGTGCCCAGCTGCGCAGCGACGCCCACGTGGTTCCGTGACTGTGTGCGCGGATGGGTGGTAACTCTGTTCTGCTGATGAGAACTTTTACCATCCACTCTCTTGGCAGCGTCCAAATAGTTAACCCTAATCACCGCTGTACACACCCACCCCAGACTTGCCTTAAACCGGAAGTGTCTTCCTTCTGACCTCCTTTCTTAGTTGTCATTTTGATTGATTTCAGAGGGAGAGGGAGAGATAGAAACATCAATGGTGAGGATCGTGGACTGGCTGCCTCCTGCACACTCCACACTGGGGACCGAACCGTGACCTCCTGGCTCATGGGTCAATGCTCACGTATGCCCACGCCTTTGTTTCCCCGTGCCAGCATTCTGGCCCAGGCCCGCCCACGCCTGGACTATTGCAGTGGCCTTTCACTGCCATTTCCCCACAGCCCACCTCCACGCTGCGCCCAGCCGCCCACAGGCCCAGCCAGCGGCTGCTAACACCCCCGCAGTCGTATTTAATCCAGCCCACCTGTGGCAGACACTTAGGTGGTTCCCAGGCTTGTATCCATCTAAAATAGTGCAGCAAACCGTAGTGCGTAGATCTTTGCATGGTTATGAGGAAGCGCAGTGGACATACTTGTTGCTAATTTAAACGTTAATAAAGGAAACCTTTTTGAGATCAGCTTCTTCAAATTCATTATACCTTTGACCACATTGAAATAAACACCTTCCACACGGAGCTACGTGTGACGTACCCTGGAGTGCTCTGAATCTGATAAAAAAAAAAAAAAAAAAATATATATATATATATATATATATATATATATATATATGATGTGGATTCATAGCTGGAGGGGTTCCATGGGGGAAAAAAGAGGAGACATACGTAATACTTTCAACAAAAAGAATTTTTAAAATTTCAAAGTAAATAGCATTTACTAGTGACTACATGTAGAAAGGAATAAACAGAGAAACGTATTGCAAATAGATAATTTCATAACAGTGGGGTTTAAAGTCCTGTCATTAAAAATACACAAACTGCCGGAACCGGTGTGGCCCAGTGGATAGAGCGTCGGCCTGCGGACTGAAAGGTCCCAGGTTCGATTTCGATCAAGGGCATGTACCTTAGTTGCAGGCACATCCCCAGTTGGGGGTGTGCAGGAGGCAGCTGATCGATGTTTCTCTCTCACTGATGTTTCTAACTCTCTATCCCTCTCTCTTCCTCTCTGTGAAAAATCAATAAAATATATATTTTTTAAAATACACAAACTTAGTTAATCAACTTGGTGGAATTAAGGGTTGGCACTGTCGCCCCCTAGTGGCTTACTCAAGCACTGACGCCACTAGAAACTCAAATTCATCACTTCCCTGTGAGTGCGACCAGCTGGGGTCCGGCGGAGCCAGCGTGGACCCTTCCTGTACTGCAGGGGGGAGTGGTGTGACGGTGCGGCGGGCGGCAGGTTTTCTTCAGGCCTGGCCTCCTGGGCAGCAATTACAGACTTCCCATGAAGTCAGTAAACTCCGCGCACAGCCTGTCGCAGGTGCATCCTCCAGACTTTACGTCTCGCCAACCAGCTCTGTGCGGACTGCCCTGGATGCCCGTGAAGTGTGTGGCCTGGCGGTGTCCCCTCGCCCACAGCTGGCCACGGGGCCTGGACAGAGCCCAGACCGAAGCCGGTGTATTTTATTTGTAAAACCCCACAGGTGAGGGGTGCTGGCTGGGAGTGAGAGGGCCTGTGGGGGAAGGGCAGCCCTGGAGGCTGACCCACCTCACCCCACCCCAGCATGCGGCTCTCAGGCCTGCCGGGGGCGCTGGCCGGGGGCACTGGCCAGAGTGGAGGGACCAGTTACACCAAGCGTGTTAGGCCCTCGGAATGCCTTTCCCAGCGGGAGACAGCATGTTGTTCTGAGTAGAGAGGTGGGCCCTGGCCGGAGGCACAGTGCCTGGCACCGTCCCCTGCACAGGAAGTCACCGGTTCTATCCTGGTCAAGGCACATGCCCGGCGGTGGGGGTGCGTGCCCAAGGCAGCCGGTCGATGTTTCTTTCCCACATTGATGCTTCTCTCCCCGCTCCCTTCCTCACTCTTTTAATGTTTTAAAAACATTTTTAAAACAAGAAGAGAGGGTGGTTTCAGCCCCACATCATCCCTGAGCATCTGCGACCACAGCTGTTAAAGGGATAACACTGCTGCTTCAGTCTCTCCAGCCAAAACCCTGTAGGGGGAGCATTCTCTCCTGCCCTCGTCAGTGCTGAGGCAGGCAGGATCTCAGGTGCAACACTGCCCTCCAGGTGTGGCCACCAGGGGCTGCGGCCAGCGGCCACGCCCACGGGCAGGGGGGCTAACAGGGACACAGACCCCTCGGAGGAGGAGGTGGGAGCAGCCTGCAGAGGCTTCAGATCCAGGCCGTCCTCCTCCTGGGCAGAGGCTGTGAGGACAGCGCCACCTAGCGGCCAGGAGAGTGCAGGGAGCGTGTGTGCACACATGTTCATGTGCGTGTGCAGGGAGGAGATGGGGTCTGCTTACCCACAACCACTCAGTCCCCCTCTCATCTGCCCTGTGACAGCTGTGAGCGACCTTCAGATGAAGTGACCTGTCCAAGGTCCGTCTAAGACACAGACAGACAGACGGACACGCACATGCACCAGGTGAGAGTGAGCGACACAGCAAATAACACCGAGGGGAGCTGTGGGAGCCCGGGGGGACCCCCGTGCCCCCCTTGAAGTTTTCCGAGCCCCGAACCCGGCAGTTTTACTGCTTTGGGAGGAAGGGTGCTCTGGGAGGGAGGGGAGGACCAGGGGAGATGGGGGAGGCGTTGGGGGGTCAGGGGGCCCACCCTGACCTTCGCTGAGGTGCCCATCCTGGTGGACCCTACTTGAGGCCCTTCCTGGTGGCCCAGGCCTGGTCACCCACTGGGGTCCCCACCCTATGCGCCCGTGTGTATGGCAGCTTCACCCTCGCTGCCCTCACAGCCCCTCTGGCTTCCTCCGTCAGACACAGGCGGGGGTGGGGGGGGGGGCGGCGGGGGGGGAAGCAGGCCCTGGTCCCCACATCACTCCCAGACTCCGGGGACACAGGTCGGGTCGTCCCAGGACGGTGCCCAACTGCCACTCCTGCTGTGAGAGGACCCCATGTGCCCTCCCACGGGCTCCCCCCCCCCCCCCACGGCGTGTCAGGGGAGGGAGGGGCGGAGAAGAACGAGGTGCGGCAGGTGCCAGCTCTGAGGGACCTCATGTGCAGCTGAGGCTGAGAACCACTGGTCAAAACACAGGACTAGCCCGGCCGGAGGCTCAGGTGGTTTCCCCATTTATTTTTAGAGAGAAAGGAAGGGCGGGAGGGAGAGAGAGAATCACCCATGTGAGAGGCCTCCCCACACGTGCTCTGACCAGGGCTGAGAACTGAACCCGAAATCCCCTGGTCCACAGGCCGGTGTGCTAACTACTGAGCAACCAGCTGGACACAATCCCTTTCTTTGCCGCTGCTGACTGGAGTTAAAGAGCCTCTCCCAGCCCTTGTCCAAGACTGTGGGCAGCTCCCGGCCCTACACCCACGTTCGCGCTGGTCACCCAGGAGGAAGGCAGCACCCGCATCTGTCACACGGACACCTGTCACTCGTGCTCATCACGCCAGAGCGACAGCATCAGTGCCTGCCCCACCTGCTCTGCGGTGCCCGACATTCGCGGTGACAGCTCTTCCCAGCGCCATCCTCAGCCACCGCGGGCCGCCTCCGGGCACCCCCCCTCAGTCTCCCCAGCAGAAACAGGCCTGTCCCCTAGCCCCCCACCCGGGGCAGAGAAAGCAGGGACACGGGCGTCAATGACTACGTTACTTTTTTCTTCTTTGAAAAATCAACCTAAAAAGTTAACCTATTTGATACCAAATTGTATCTCAAGTAAAACCTCAACTCTCCCCTTAAAAGAGAGTAAAACCTGTTTTTTTATGCCAAGCAGGGGATGGGAGGACAAAGCTGCCTCCCCCAGCCTGCTCCTCCCTTCACGCCGGCTTCCTGTTCAGAATGAGCCTTATCACCTTTAAAATCAGAACACAAACAGAACAAACTTCCAAAAGCTGACCCCACTGTTTACAGGGTAAATCTAATAACCATTCAGACACCCGGAGCCCACCACCCCGTGAGGGTCCGCACTGCCACGGGGTTTCGGGAGGAGCGAGTGGTGTTCACAGGGACGGGGTCAGGGTCCAGCTCCAGGAGCGCGCTGGGGAGGCCTGGCGGGGACACTCACGGAGGCCGGAGCAGAGCCTCCTGGAAGTCAGGCTCCTCTGACGCCGTGGCTGGGGTCTTCGCCTTCGCTGAGCAACGGAGTCCCCGCCCAGCAGCCTTCACGCACAGGCCAGGCCTCCCGCAGGCTCCAGCCCCTGGGCGCCATCTCCGTCCTCCGCGGGCCGGGGCCGCTTCCGCTGCGGGGGGCTGGCCTGCGTGTCCCCAGGCGGCTTGGGAACGCTGACCGACGAGGCTGCCAAGGAAGCAAGACTTCTCTAAGTGGAGAGCTGATGCCAGCACAACAGATTCTGGCCCTGGCTGGTGTGGCTCAGTGGACAGAGCACCGGCCTGCGGACTGAAAGGTCCCGGTTCAATTCCGGTCAAGGACACATGCCTGGGTTTCAGGCTCAGGCCCCAGTGTGGGGGCGTGCAGGAGGCAGCTGATCGATGATTCTCTCTCATCATAGATGTTTCTATCTCCCTCTCCCTCTCCCTCCCTCTCTGAAATAAATAAAAACATATTTTTTAAAATTCTGTGCCCAGACAAGGAGTAAACTGTCCGGCAGGTCCCATGTGCCTAGAATGGAGTCTACACCAGGGATCTCAACCCCAGGGCCACTGTGCCTCCCAGGACGGCGGGCGCTGCTGGCGACATGTTAGGGTGTCAGGAGGGGGGATGGGGACATCTGGGGGTGCTAATGAACGCCGTCACACAGGACAGCCCACCAGGCCCCACCCGGCCCGTCCTGGGGGCACCCAGCTCCCCCGTGCGCTCAGGGAAGTGGCTCCCCGAGAACAAAGGGGCCAGTGGGTCTGCAGGGTGGGCCTGGCAGGCGCATCTCGCTGTCTCAGAAGCACCTTGACATTGGCGGGCGCTCATTTCCAAAGGAAAGAGGTCTTCTGCCCGGGGAAACGGGCCCAGCACCAGCCCTCACCTGGCGGGGCCTCCGCGGGAGGGGTGCGAGCCACAGCGCCTGGCCCAGCATCCGGGCCGTCCGTCTTTACGGGCATCAGGTTCACTCTCCTGGGTAAGAGAAGGGAAGGGCGTGCTGGGTGTCTGACACTGTGACGCAAACTGCGGCATCTCAGTAGCAGCTGGTCACGTCTGCAAGGCGGTACCTGCACACAGACTCCGCGGGCTTAGTGACCAAGGATCACGCTCGTTCACATTGCGTCACCACAGCGCTGACGTCATCACCGTGCTGACATCACCATGGCGCTGATGTCATCATCGCGCTGTCACTACCATAAGACGTCACCACTGCGCTGACATCACTACCACATGACATCACCACGGCGCTGACGCCAGCTTACCCCTCAGCGGGGGGCCCCCGTGTGCACAGAGCCCTGCTCAGGCTTCCTGCTGTGAGCCGTTCTTTCCAAAACCCTCAACCTGAATGTCCAACAACTATTCCTTTTTCAAAATTACCAACTGCAAGAAGCTTGTAAGACATGAAGCAGGGAAACTTAAATACCCAAATATTTCTCAGAACTCCTTCCCTCCGCCCAGACACAGGAGAGAAACCAAGCATCACTGGTCTAGAGACCAACTGGGAGCCGCATATCCCCACCCCGAGGTGGACCGGCCAGCGAGGTCAGGGAGTGAGCAGGCAGGGCCGCCCCAGGGCTTCCGGCACCTTCTGTCACCCCGCACCACAGCCCCCAGGCGCTCTGTCTGGACAGAGGGGCCAGTCTGTCTTAACGACCGGGCGGTGGGGCCCAGTGCGGACAGCAGATGGAGCTGGGAGGTGACTCCCCAGACATCCAGGGAGGAAACCGGGCAGCACAGCTAATGGGGGTCAGAGGGTCAGGGGGCCTGGGGGTCGCCGCTGTGCCGGGCCAAAGCCACAGGAACAGGGGCTCCGCCTGCCCCATGGGCTTAGACCTCAGGGGAAACAGCAGAAAGAAGTCCCGGCCGGATGTGACGTGACAAGAAAGAAGGGCTGATGGAGGACGCGGCGCCCCAGTGTCCGGGGAAGAGGGGGTCAGAGGCCCCCAGGCCGAGTGTGCTCTGGGGACCCAGCTTTCGGGGTCGGGCTGGAGAGGAAGGCACCCGGGAAGGGGAGTGACCGCGGACAGCCCCAGCATGCAGGTGGAACCGCACCTGTGCGTCACGTAAGAAGTGGGGACCCCTCAGAGGGGTGTGAGCCAGGAGGTGGCGCTTGGAGTGAGGTCAAGAAACCTCTGGAGCCCTGGCTGGTATGGCTCAATGGCTAGAACATCGGCCTGTGGACTGAAGGGTCCTAGGTTCAAATCCCATCAAGGGCACATGCCTGGGTTGTGGCTCTATCCCCAGTGGGTGGTGTGCAGGAGGCAGCTGCTCCATGATTCCCTCTCATTATTGATGTTTCTCTCTCTCTCTCTCTCTTTCTCTTTCTCTCTCTCCCTCCCCCCACCCCATTTCCTCCCTGAAATCAGTAAAATCATATTTTAAAAAAGAACCCTCTGGGGCTGCTGGCCCATCAGCGTCTCCGTCGGGGTGTCCTTACCGGGGCGTCTTGCTCCAAGCCTGCAGGGTGTGCAGGGTGACCCTCCGGGGCGGGGGCGCCTTCCCGGCCTGACTGCTGGGCGGGCTCTTCTCCTCCGAGGGCCCGGTGGGGGCAGCCGTGGCGGGCGGGTCTTTGGGCGCTGGGGTTGCGGACGGCCTCCCCGGAGCGGGTGCTGGGCAGGGACTGCCGGGGTCCGTGGTTCTGCTGGCCGGGGTGCCCTCCCCCAGCCGGGGCCCCGGTGAGGACCCCTGTGGGGTCTGACACTTGGCCTTCGTCGCCGTATCGGGAGTCCGCGTGCTCAGGTCCGGCTTCTCTGTGAAAGGCGTTCCCAGCTCGCCCTTCTCAAAGGTCACGAAGGAGCAGTAGCCGTCGGTGGAGGAGATGGCCAGGAAGGCCCCGTCGCTGGACCTTGGCCCCAACGCAGGAGAAAGGGTGAAGTTTTACCACGTCCGCGGCCCGCCTCCGCTCTCCCTGCTGGAGCGCCCTCCCCCGCTCACCAGGAGATGTCGCTCAGCGTGTGGTAGTGGATGTTGGACACGTAGCCGAAGGGGAAGAGCTGCTGCGTGTCGTAGAAGAGCACCGAGTCCTCGGAAGCCACGGCGAACACCACACGGTAGGGCAGGCGCACCAGCGGCCCCGGGGCCGGGCCATCTGCGGGACACGGGCAGGAAGGACGTGACACCAGCACCAGCCGGACCCCCACACCGGGAGCCCCTCCCCCGGACACACAGGACCGATCCTACTGAAGGCGTGCAGAGGCACGGAGGCCTTCCTCTTATTTATACACGGATGCAGGAACGAGCGAGAACTTCGTGAACCAGCGACACCGTGTCAGGATCCACCCATCACGGGCACCGAGGTGTACACGGAAGAGAACTCCCGGGAAGGAGACCCAGGGTCACGTGGACACACTGTACCAGGTGATGCTTTCATGCTCTCTCCGGTTAATTGTGTTCATTCACATAAGAGTTTAGAGTGGAAAACAGCTTCCGCTTCCAGCCTTGGAGTGACGGGGCCCCGATTTAGCCTCCGACGTTTTAAGATGCGGACTGCCCGTCAGCAGTGAAGGCCAGCGACCCCGGGCGGAGGGGAGCAACAGTACGCAGTGCTGCCGCAGCCTCGGCTCACCGCCTGGTCCCCAGGCCCAGCGGCGGGAGGGGACCCGGCAGCGCCCACAGGTGCCCTGAGCTGCGGGGCCAGAGCAGGGCTCCGGGCTGAGCACTGGCCGGTGCCGTCGGGGAGCGACCCGAGGTCCAAGCAAGAACAGGAAAGAGATCCCTGGCCAGTGGTTGAGCGGCAACCCAGGAAACAAGAGGTCGCCTGCGGCTTGATTCCCAGTAGGGGGCGGGCAGGAGTCAACTGATCAATTATTCTCTCTCATCATTGAAGTTTCTCTCTCCCTCTGATAATATATATATATACACATTTAAGTTGCTCTAAACAGAGATTGTATGTTCTAGACGCTGCCAACCACAGACACAATGTTTGCTAACAGCAGCCTCTGTGCCGGCTCCGAGTAACTAAATGGAGCCAAACTCACAGGCCCCCCCTTTCCCCAAGGTAAGGTAAACCTCACCCACCCTGCTGACCTCCCGACAGGAGACACATGTACCTGTTTCCGCCTCCGGCCTCAACTCAAAGTAGACGGGGCAGCAGCGGACAGCAAGCGTGGCTTTTCCGGGGCATGGGAGATGCGCCACAGGCCTGGGGGGACCAGGGGTTAGAGAGACCGCTGCTCACAAAGCAAGAGGGCAACGTCCCCGCGGTCCCTCGGCTCACCGTTTCAGGTTCTTCCTGGAGAAGAGGTACGTGGTGTTGGTCACGTTTTCGCCCGACTCCACGCATCCGGCTGGCAGGAGGGAAGGCTGTTATTTTACGGTCCACCAGCACACCCAAGGCAGCCAATTCCGGGTTAAAGTGACCTTCCCGAGAGATGTACCCCTGGACTGTGTGTGTGGCTGGGATCAAAAACAAACCCGCACTCCTGGGCTCAGCTGCCCACTGGCTCTACCCACTGGTCCTCACCTGGGTGCCATCTCACCTGAGGGCTCGTTCACCTGAGGTCACAGCCACCTGAGGGCGCAGCCACTTGAGGGGACGGCCACCGGGAGCCACACCCAGGCCAGGCCCGAGTCCCGACCTCACTGCCTTCCAAGGGCTGAGGCTGGCCGGACGGAGCCAGGAGCAGCCAGGAGATAGCCCTCTGCCGCAGCCAGCCCTGCAGAGCTGACCGCTCTGGGGCCACCCCACTGTACTTGGTCCCAGTCGCACACACACTGTCCAGGGGGTACGTCTCTGCCCCACCCTCCCACGCTGCACCTGGCACGGCCAGACCCAGTGGAGAGCGACCGACAGACACATCTGCTCTTGGACACGACTTGTCCTCTGCTGCTGAGCGTGCGCGCACACACACACACACACACACACACACACAAATGCACACACATTCTCACACATGTGACCTTTGCGTATCCACCAGGAGGACGGCAGCATCTCGCCCATCCTTCCTTCCATCCCAGGATAAACACCTGGCCAGCGTGCACTTCCTGCAGGCTACGTAACCATGACAACCATACATACACACGTGGTGGGCGTTTCTTTACTTTACCAAATGGGGTGCTCTCTAGACTTTTCCTTATCTTGCTTTTCTTAGTCAACTGCTCAGGAAAACCACCTTGCTCAGCAGCTAACGCTTTCTTCTCCCCCTCTCCCACCTCGGGGGTCCCTCTTACGTTTCCCTCCAGTGCCCGCCCTGTTCTAACCACACGTTCGAGGGGCCCTGGCCTCCCCGAGGGGACGCGGCCGCCACGCACCTGGGGTGAGCAGCAGGGAGCCGTCGGGGGTGAAGCTCAGTCTCCGGAAGAAGGACTTCATGCTGTCGTCATGGAACATGCGGTAGCTCCTGGCCTGAGGCACAAAGCAAGCGTCAGCCCCAGCCCCCGGGCAGACAGGCCGTTTCCCTCCATGCGGCCGTCACTACTGCCGATCGTCACCAGAACCGAAACGAGTACCAACCCACACTCCTGGGGGCATGCACGGATCGGCCTTCTGTTCAGGAAAGCTTGTGTGTGCACGTGTGCGGGCATGTGTGTGGACATGTGTGTGTGAGTAGCTGGTTCGTGTGGGGATGAGACTGGGAAAGAGGATGACCGGAGCTCTCTGCTCGCTGAGCATTTCCACCAGAACAAATGCCTTTTTGAAAGGGTGTAGTTGATTATTAAGCTGGTGATCACACCTTTCCGACCACCCTCCTGTGGAAGTGCCGCGTGCACCCCCACTTCAGGAACACCGGGGCCCAGGGCAGCATCGCCCTCGCGTCCCAAAGCCCGGCCCACACGACCCACGCCTGCCGAGGCCTGGGTGGCGCTCGGTCCGTTTGGGCCAAAACCCGACTGGCTGGCTCCCTCCTCCCTCCTCAGACTCCATTCCCTCTTGCGCCTGAGCCCGCAGAGGGCCCGGTCCCTGCTCTCTGTGCCCGGAGCCCTTCGCTTCCTGCCAAGATGCCATTTGCACTGCCTGCTGCCGGCCCCCCACCCACCCCCTCCCACCTGCCTGCATGCCTCAAGCTGGGATCCTCCGGCCCGCGTGCTCCACCCACGCCACTCCCTGCAATCCACTCCTGGAATCTACTATCGGAATCCACTCCCGGGAATCCCGGAGGCCTGCCGCCTCAGCTGACTGAACCCCGATCAGGGTGGCCAGGCTCCCGCAGATGTTAACCTGTTCACCGAGCGGGACGTTAAATACATCAAACGTAAACAATATCGGGAAAGGGTAGGACATATATGTTGCGCCCCGAGAGGGACGGTATATATTTTTTGTAATCTTTTTTTTTTTTTTTTAATATTTTATTGATTTTTTACAGAGAGGAAGGAAAGGGGAGGGATAGAGAGTTAGAAATATCGATGAGATGAGAGAGAAACATCAATCAGCTACCTCTTGCACACCCCCCACTGGGGATGTGTCAGCAACCAAGGTACATGCCCTTGACCAGAATCGAATCCGGGATCTTTAGGTCTGAAGGCCGACGCTCTATCCACTGAGCCAAACCGGTTTCGGCTATTTTTTGTAATCTTTATCATTGTTTGTAAAATTTATAATTTTTTAATTCGACGTGTCCATTTTTTTTTGTCGGTATTCTTTTCTATTTTTTTTGTAATTTTGTATTTTCCTTTGTGATATATATATATATATATATATATATATATATATATATATATATATATATTTCATTTGTTTTCATTAAGTATAAATAAAAATATATGAAATTACATCCTCCGGGCGTGACGTACTGACACGTCCTAGTGAAAGAGTACGCGCCTGTTACAGGTTGCGTCATTAAAAAGGGAACTCCCCGGTTAACAGTTAATACTTCTCAGGTGACTCCCGAGCAGCCTGGTTGGAAATCACCGGCCTCCATCATCGGTTCTCCTGCCCGACGGCCCTGCGCGCAGACAGGCCGGCCCCCCACCCTCCCGAGCCCGACGGCCCAGGGGCCCTCACTGGGGCTCAGGTTTAGCTGCGAGTCGGAAGGAGCTCAGACTCGCCTCCGTCCCCACGGAGCGCGGCCCCACGCAGAGCCGAGCTCTCCTACCTCTCCCTCGGCGCCCGCGCCTGCCAGCATCTTGGACACATTGAAGGCCACGCGCTTCTTCTGGGTGCTGTACACCCGCAGGGTCCTGGGGGGTAAGAAGTCCGGTCTCACTCTTCTGCCTCCCACAGAAGCGATCGTCACCCAAACGGAGGACCACCTAGGTACCGTGTGGCCCGGGAACCGTTTACCATGCCTTCCCCTGTGACCGCGTCCTTCCGAGGAGCGGTCTGAGCAGCCGGAAGCTGTCAGCGCGGTGCAGGGAGGCATCACTTCCTTCCTCAGGGAAGGTCCCGGCTTCCCGGTGAGACTGTCTCCGGGCCGGGCCTCGTTTCTTAGGCCCGGACCTTGGGCCCAGCGGCAATTGGTACGGCTGTGGGTTAATTTTTGTGGAACAGCCCGGTCCTCAGGGAAGTGCAAGAGGAAGATAGCACCACAGGCCAATCTGCAGGCGGTAACTCGGAGGATTCCCACTGGCTAAGCAGAGCCTCCTGCCGGCCGGAATCCACACAGAGCGGGAAACCAGTGACATCTGGGACGTCTCAGGTTCCAGGGGAACACACACCAGCTCCCCCCGACTCTCATTCCCACGCCTGAAATGAGACCTGCTACGATGAAAAGTAGTGGGTAAATACTGAGAAGGACCATTGTGACTATCACAGGCATATGATGAGTAATATGCCTGGCACTCCTAAGTTTTAAAATATTCTTTGTTCTAAGAACAAAACTCAATGCGATTACACCAGTACACACAGGAGGTCCTCCTTTCAGAAGGCACAAGAGTTTACTTTTATATTAAACAGTCTCCTTAAAATCGCCGTAGTGGCAACAAAAGGAAACCAATATCCACTCCTACTATTGGTACCTCTGCTTAAGTCACCTATACTAATAAAAGGGTAATATGCTAATTAGACCAGAGACGTCCTTCCGGACAAAGCCACAGTGGCAGGGGCCAAGGCAGAGGCGGTTAGGGGCAATCAGGCCAACAGGGGAGAGGAATTAGGGGCAATCAGGCAGGCAGGCAGGCAGATGGGCAGTTAGGAGCCAGTGATCCTGGATTGAGATAGGGATCCCAGATTGGAAGGGGTGCAGGCTGGGCTGAAGCGCCCCCCTCCATGCCCAAATTTCATGCACTGGATCTCTAGTCTATATATGTAAAAGCCTAAGCAACCAGCTGACCAGCCGGCAGTTATAACATGCACTGACCACCAGGGGGCAGATGCTCAATGCAGGAACAGAAACCACAGGCAAGGAAACGTGGAACAGACTGATGAATCTCAGAAGGGAGGGGAAAGGAGGAGGGTGGGAAGAGATTAACCAAAGGTCTTATATGCATACTGGAGGCCCGGTGAACAGATTCGTGCACTGGTGGGGTCCCTCAGCCAGGCCTGAGGAAACCAGCTCTCCAGCATCTCCCGAGGGGTCCCAGATTTTGAGAGGCACAGACCAGGTCGAGGAACCCCACCTCTAGTTATTATAAAAGACCTTTTCTTTAAAAGTTGCCCATGAAATTCAGACCTAATTCCAAGCTCTTTCTGCATTCATTCACCTAGCCCGGCCGGCGTGGCTCAGTGGTTGAGCATCGACCTATGACATCCACCAATTCCATAGACTTACTAGGCACTAACTTCGGGTAAGACACTTGCCTCACCAGTTTCCAATTTTTCTTACGTTGAAAGAATAACAAAACAAATTCTTTCCATGAAACTGAGACTCAAAGAACCGAAGCTAGACCACTGCTTATAGTGGCTGAGTTGTGATAAAATGCCTCTGCACAAGTTTTTAAGTAAACAGAAAAAAAGACAGTTTGTCCAGTACTCACGTACCGATCACAGCTCAGGGTCGCGATGTACTGGCCCAAAGGATCCCAGGTAATTCCCTGTACGTAACTTTTATGTTCATTAAAAATCGAGATCTTCTGTCCTAGGAGAGAAGCACACGACAGCGTAACCAAAACTGCTCCAGCGCCAGCACGGACACCGCAGCCTCCGGGTCACTGTCCCGACCGTGTTCTGCCGTCAGCAGGTGGCCAGGGGACTGCCCCGAACACTGGGTCAGGCTCGGCCACACGGTCCTGCCCAGCCCCAGCCCCCGGCGTTCAGAGCCGGCGGCGGACACCCCACGGGCAGGCGCACTGCACCAGGCAGAGCGTGGAACAGAGGAGGGAGGCTGGGCGGGACCAGGCAGGCGGGACCAGGCAGGGCGAAGGGGCCAGTGGAGGGAAAGATGGTCTAAGCAGACGCACGAAGAGACGGAGCAATGGCGATAACTGCGGACCGCCAGGGGGAAGGTAAAGGGCAAACGAACAAGATGAGGCGGAAGGGGGTGGGCACAGGAGCCCTGGGCAAGGAAAAGACCCGTGCGGCTCAGAGGAACGCCAAGAGGGGTGACCCGGTTGTTATGATGAAACTCGGGGGCTTTGGGGGATTTTGTTTGTTTGTTAATCCTCACCCAATTGATTTTTAAAAAAATATATTTTATTGGCTTTTTACAGAGAGAAAGGGAGAAGAATAGAGAGAATCATCAATGAGAGAGAAACATCAATCAGCTGCCTCCTGCACACCTCCTACTGGGGATGTGCCCGCAACCAAGGTACATGCCCTTGACTGGAATCGAACCTGGGACCCTTGAGTCCTCAGGCCAACACTGTATCCACTGAGCCAAACCACTTAGGGCTCCATTGACTTTTAGAGAGAATGGAAGAGATGGAAAGACAGAAACATTGATGTAAGAGACACATCCACCAGTTCCCGCCCACTCGTGCCCCCACTGGGGCTGGGGAGCAAGCCTGCCACCCAGATACGTGCCCTCGATGGGGATCGAGCCTGAGACCCTTCAGTGCGCAGGCCGGTGCACTAACCACTGAGAAAACTGGCCAGGCAAAAGTGAGGTTTTGAGAAGACCATGGAGAGTGCCCCTGGTTAGGAGGTGAGGGTAGAGCAGATGGGGGACGAGGGCCTGACCGCCAGCAGCACTCACAGTGTGGGGAAGGGGAAGGGGAGGTAGGAGGAAAACCACACCAAGACAACCTGAAGGGAGGGGAAGTCATGAAGGCTTGGCCATGCTGGGGAACCAGGACCAGTTCTGAGACGGCCTTCCCTCTGCTCCCTCCCTCCACCTTTCCCACCTCATCCCCCAGCCCTGTGCCCTCCATCCCCCAGCCCTGTGCCCTCCAGCCCCCAGCCCTCTGCCCTCCATCCCCCAGCCCTCTGCCCTCCATCCCCCAAAGCTGGCCCCACAGCTGCCAGCACCGACCCGCGTACAATGCGCAGCTTCAGGCTAACCCCCGCTCCTCCTTCCTTAAACTCCGTCCAGGCATTCTGCTGAGGTGGCGGGGCCGGGGAGACGAAGGGGGCACCAGGAGGCCTGTGGAGTGTGGGGAGAACAGGAGCGGGACCGGCCTCCAGGTGGTCGTGAACACCAGCCTGAGGTGGTGGGAGGCCTGGGGAGTGGCCTAGCCGCGGGGGCAGGTGTGAAACGAGCTGTGCTCAGCCTAGGACTGGGCACTGGAAGGAGACCCTCAGCCGGGTTTGTCTTGGAAAGGGCCGAGGGAGTGAGAGCTGATGGACAGCCCCCGGGGAGCACAGGCTGGGCTCCCGGACCAGGAAACGGGGCTCAGACCGAGGGCTCCAGGGAGAAGGGAAAGGTGTTGAGGACGGAGGGCGACGGCTGTGATGGAAGAGGGGGCCCTGTGCTCCAGAGGTCAAAGGCGGAGCAGCTAAAAGACCTGAGACTGAGGGACGTGACAGCCAGGACGTGACAGCCAGACGGCATGCTCCCCTGAAGACAGGACTCACTGCGGAGGGGAGGGGCTGAGGCGCTGGGCAGCAGCAGGAATGGCTCATGAGAAATTCCTTACACAAAAATACACCCACAGCCCAGCCGGCGCTGCTCAGTGAATGAACATCAACCTGTGAACCAGGAGGTCACAGCTGGATTCTGGTCAGGACACAGGTCCCGCTGCAGGCTGGATCCCCAGTGTGGGGCGTGCAGGAGGCAGTTGATCATGATTCTCTCTCATCATGGATGTTTCTCTCTCCCTCTCCCTTCCTCTCTGAAATCAATAAAAATAAAAAAATTTTAGCCGAAACCGGATTAGCTCAGTGAACAGAGCATCGGTCTTCAGACTGAGGGGTCCCACGTTTGTTTCGGGTTAAGGGCATGTGCCTTGGTTGCGGGCACATCCCCTGGAGAGAGAGGATGTGCAAGAGGCAGCTGATGGATGTTTCTAACTCTCTATCCCTCTCCCTTCCTCTCTGTGAAAAAATTAATAAAATATATTAAAAAAATAAAAATAAAAAAATTTTAAATATTGATTTTAAATAAGTTGCCTAGGCTACATATTGGAGGGGAAAAAAACTTTACCCACACAAGGCAGAGGTCTGACACGTGACCTTGATTCCCACACTTCCCCGTGGCCCAGCTCAGGAAATGGCTCCACTAGTCACCTGGTTGTCAAAAAGCTCGGAGTTACAGCCAATGCATCAAACCCTGTCCGCTCTTTCTGCAAACTATGTCCCACCCTCCTCCCAGCCCTCCCGTCCCCGGCACCCAGCCGAGGCCACCGTCACCTCCCGGATCACGCCTGCGCCGCTCCCAGCGTCCCCGCTCCACCTGTGTCCTCCCAGGACCCACAGGCCACACGCCACCTGGAGGCGTCTTTTAAAGTCCCGTCACGCTCTGCTCAAAACCCTCCCACACCACGGTCACACTTGGGACACAATCTCCAACCCCGTGGCCCGGGCCTCCGGCTCCATCCTCAGTCCCCCGCCTCCCACCCCCTCCTGTCCACTGTCCGTTCCCTCCACACACAGGCCGCGGCGCTGCTGCGCCCACCGCCGGCATGCTCTCCCCAAAACACCGCACACCGCTTGCTCCCCAGATCCGTTCAAGCCTCGGTTCAAACCCCACGCGTGAGCCTTCCGAATGACCTACACACCCGACCCGCACAGTGCCTCTGCTACCCGGCACCCCAGCAGGGGGCTGCCGCCTTGTTCTGTACTCTCCCAGCACCTCGCCAGTGCCCGGCATGCTGGCACGTCCAAGGTCATCGCGGGCGCCGGCAGGCTGTCCAGGACAAGGGCCAGATTTGGGGACGAGAAGTGACACTCATCCTCCGTTAGAAAGAGGGGCAGGGACAGGGAAAGATGGAGGGAGGCGAGCTAGAGGACAGCGCCAGAGGAGAGCAGCCGGTGCAGAGGGCATGGGAGGGGGCTGCGGCGGCAAGACCCCTTCCCCAGGGCAGCGGGCTGCGGGAGAGGGGGAGGAAACACCAGGTCCGAGGAAAGGGCTGCAGAGTAGGCATCAGCTACTGCAGGAGGCAGCTGGTCAGTGATTCTCCGTCATCATGGATGTTTCTCTTCCTTCCTCTCCGACATCAATAAATTATTTTTTTAAAGCAGCGAGGTGCCTTCACCTCCTGAAATGGAACCATGGTCCTCCTCTCAGCTCGGAGCAGGAAATGCCCCTGGATGGAGACCAGCCAATCTCCCCAGATCTAAGCGCCACGAAGGCAGGGGTCAGCCTGTCCCTCTACGGCCGCCTCCCGGGCACGGGGCACCCACCTTGCTCGGCACCGGGGACTCGGGACACCACCCTAGGCCCAGGCTTCCTGCCTGGGCGCCTCAAGCTGAGCTGGATGCACAACACCTGGGCTAATCCCCAGCCTGCTGCGCCCAACCCGTTTGGGCTCCTTAAAGAAGTGCTTCTGATGCCGTCAAGACAGACAGGTGAGGCTTGGTAGACACACAAGATGCTACCCCCCAACACGTCCCCCACCACAGAGAGTAACAAAAGCCTATCAGCTACCTTTACTGACGTCCCAGATGATGGCCGTGTTGTCCACGGAGGCGGAAGCCATCAGGTTGCCATCGGTGGCCCAGCAGATGTCGTACACGTCCTCCAGGTGGCCCCTGGCGTCCGAGTGAGGGGTGGTGGGGGAGAGGAGAGAGAAAGGACAAAACGTTTAAAGGCAAACTGAGGGGCCATACATTAGGATGGGATGGTAGGAACTGCTGCTGGGGCTACCTTAGCGACAGCGACAACCGACCACCTCCACGTTCACAGATATCTGTCTTTTGCCCTGACTGGTTTGGCTCAGTGGATAGAGCTTCGTCCTGCGGACTCAAGGGTCCCCAGGGTCGATTCCGGTCAAGAGCATGTACCTTGGTTGTGGGCACATCCCCAGTGGGGGGGTGTGCAGGAGGCAGCTGATCGATGTTTCCCACTCATCAATGTTTCTCTCTATCCCTCTCCCTTCCTCTCTGTAAAAAATCAAGTTATTTTTAAAAAAAGAGATATCTGTCTTTACAATTGATTCGATTTTACTTGTTAGCAAAAACTAAGGAAACCCATGTTAATCATGCTTTTCTCTTTTAAAACCGTCCTCTCGTTTCCGTCCCGCTTAAGGACACAGTCTCCAGTGACATACGCGGTCCTCAGAGAGGACGAGCCCTGCCTCACCTCAGCGTCTTCACCACCGTCCAGTTCTCCTTGTTCAGCTCCGCCTCGTCCTCGTCCGGGAAGGCCAGCTGCTCGGGCTCCTTGCTGTCGTTCACCTTCCACAGCAGAATGACCGCATCTGGCGGGACGCAACGGGACAGGCTGCTCCACCTCCACCTTCGCGCCTGGGGTTCAGGCCCTCACCCCCCAGGTGCCCTGTCCACCTACGGCCTCGGCCATTCACTTCTAAGGCCGAGGGGAAGACAGGTTTGCCTGCTGAGCTAAAAGCCCCAATCAAACTCATACCAGATCAGGGCGAGACAAGTCGCCTTAAACAGAAGGGTCCTGGCGCCAAACACCACTGCAAAGCGGCTCACAAGCCAAAAGGCGGAGCCGAGAGAGAACCGAGGAAAGGCAGACGCGCTGGTGGGTTAGGCCACTTGGTCACGGCGTCCTCCCCGTATGCCAAGGTGGCAGGTTCCAGCCCCGGTCAGCTCACACACGGGGATGCATCCAACAGTGAGTCATCAATAAGTGGAACAACAAATCTCTCTCTCTCTCTCTCTCTCTCTGTCAATAAATAAAAATGTTAAGTAAATTAAAAGGAAAAAAATAAAACAGCAACAAAGAGCCACCAACACAAAGGATGGCAAATCTTTCCCAGCTGTGCGACCTTCAGCAAGTCACCAGAGGCCTCCATCTCCACTTGTAAACTGGGGTAACAGCCCCAGCAGGTCTGGCTCAGTGGACAGAGCGTCAGCCTGTGGACCGAAGCATCAGGGGTTCGATTCCGGTCAAGGGCACGGACCTCGGTTGCAGGCTTCTCTCTGGCCCGGGCCCTGGTCGGGCTGGTGCAGGAGGCAACCAATCAATGTGGTTCTCTCACATCAATGTTCCTGTCTCTCCCTCTCTCTTCCACTCTCTCTAAAATCAATGGGAAAGATCCTCAGGTGAGGATTTAAGTTTTTAAATAAAGAAAAATGAAATAAAATGGGGATAAAAACAGGGGGCTGTTGGGAGGATTAAATGTGTTAAAAGGCGTGAAGCACTCACAGCACAACGCCCCGCCCGCGTAAGCCCACGTGTCAGGATTAATATCGCGGAGGCATCTCACACATTAGCCTGACGTCATCGACTGTCTGCTCCCTGACCACTGCGTCTGAGTCCGCCCAGACCCGCCTCCCCCTGAGAACTGCCCAGGCCGGGGACGGGACGCCTCCTATGACTGGAGCCTGGAGCCTGGCTGAGCAGATGCCCCAACATAAGGACAAACTCCACTGCCAACAGCAGGTTCCTGGGCATCCAGGGCCAAAGGGCTTTGCTGCCCAGGGCAACCTCATGGAAGACTGCGGCCAGGCCGCCAGGGGGCGCTCCCACTCCCAACCCCCCACCCTTCCCATCTGGGCCCACCCTCAGGACACAGGGGCACTGAATTTAACAGCCAGTCTCTTTTCCTCCTGTGAACAAAGTCTGAGATTCCTGTTTTACTTTGCACTGGCTTCTAGACTGTTCTAGAGGTAAAGGATGGTAAAAAGACTTTTTTTTGGTATAGTTTGAAGACTAGAGATGGGCAATATAAACTAGAGGCCGGGTGCGAGGGATTCGAGAACTGATGGAGGGCGTGGCCCATTGTGAGACGCTTTTCCTGGTCAGCCCCGCGGCTGTGGACCCACCCTCTGAGCGGCTGCTCCGGGGCCTGGCATCTTCCATGGAGCAGAGCACTCGCCTCTTCAGGGGACCCGGTGGGGTCGGTCCCAGGGACATTAGCACAGAGAAGCGGCAGAGTGGCCTCAGGCCCGCGGCAGCCACAAACCCGCCTCCCACCTCCAGGGTCAGCTCGGCAAGCCCCGTGGCTACGCTGTGTGGCCTGCAGGTGTCCAGAGGAGGCGGAAGGGAAAGAGGAGGAGCCTGGGGTGAAGAGGTGAGGATCGCAGCCCAGATTCCTGCCCATCTGAGCGGTGCTCCCGCTGTGGTAGCTCCTGCATTGAGTGTCTGCCCTCTGGTGGTCAGTGTGCGTCATAGCGACTGGTCGACCAGTCGTTTCGCCGTTCGGTCGCTGGACTTTTATTATATAGAATGGACTCATTTTAACCAAACTGCTAAAATCACTCACATTATGAAGGTGAGGCAGGAGGAAAGATTCTGTTCTAACTGGCCCGGGAACTTAGACTACCTGAACTTTCTGGTCCAGATCCAGTCCCCAGATATGCACCTGGACAGACACCAGACCTCCAGATAACCGTGACTGCCCACTGAAGGACTCAGCAATCAGGCTCCTGACACCCATTACCCAGACCACCATTTGGGATCAAACCCCCGGTGCCCCCCCCTCTCGCCCACCTGGCTTCCATCCTCCTGTCTGCCACCTGAGGTCCCTCCCAGATGAATTCCAGGGCTAGGAATGCAGGACTGACCATTCTCAAGAATGTACTTTTGACCATAAAGAAAATCCAACTTTCCTCTCCTTTATGGAGTGCTTCCGGGTTTTGGTCTGTGACCCCAGGGTGGCAACGGTAAGACCCTTGGTTAAGTCTCTCCTTTTTCACTAGCCAAAGCCTCCAGACTCTTCTCCAGTTCCTGCGACAAGTTTTATGCCAATAAGCACAAGCAGAGAATGTCAATCAACTTATTTCCACGAAACATACATATTTCAGAGGGCCGTATGAATGATACCCGCTACGCCCATGTTGGGCAAACTGCGGCTCGCAAACCACATGCGGCTCTTTGGCCCCTTGAGTGCGGCTCTTTCACAAAATACCACGGCCTGGGCGAATCTATTTTGAAGACGTGGCGTTAGAAGAAGTTTAAGTTTAAACAACTTGGCTCTCGCCCCAACTGGTTTGGCGCAGTGGATAGAGCGTTGGCCTGGGACTGAAGGGTCCCGGGTTTGATTCCGGTCAGGGGCATGTACCTGGGTTGCGGGCACATCCCCAGTAGGCAGGAGGCAGCTGATGGATGTTTCTCTCTCATTGATGTTTCTAGCTCTTTATCCCTCTCCCTTCCTCTCTGTAAAAATCAATATAATATATTTATTAAAAAAAAACAAAAAACAAAAACACTTGGCTCTCAAAAGAAATTTCAATCGTTGTACTGTGATATTTGGCTCTGATGACTAATGCGTTTGCCGACCACTGTCCTACGCCAATTCATTACATAGTTACACAGACACGTGGGTCAGACTGTGGTCACTTGTAAGTTCTACACTGACAATCCAGCGAGGCCAGCACAGGCCTGGAGACTCCGTCAGAACGGGAAACACCTCCTACTGTCCCCAAGCCCAGGGAAGCATTTTCACACAGGTCTCAGCGTGTGTTTGCTGCGCCCACCTGCTCCTGCCCCCAGAACACGGGTCCGGGACCTCTGTAATAAACAAGCCCTGCCTGGCTCACGCCTCAGGGTTTCACGTGAGACTCACGAGCCTTCAAGTACGACACTCACCGTCTCCTCCGGAGGCCAGGATCTCCCCCGTGGGAGAGAAGCGCACGACGTTGACGGCCTTGGTGTGGCGGGCCAGATTGGACAGGAACTCAACGATGGCCTTCCCGTCCGGGCCTTTCTCCACCTTCCAGACCTGGTGATGCCAAAACAGGCAGCCAGAGCCGCAGAGTGAGCGCCCGCCGCTCCGCACCCGGAAACAACACTACGCCCATTGCCAGGAAGCCGGCGTAGCTTTCCTTTTGGAACATAAAAGGAATGTGTATCTGAACCGCAGACCCACAGTCCCACTGCTGCCTGCCCTCCCTCCTGCCTTGTTCTAGTCCGGACTGTTCCCCCACAGGGACCTGGCTCAGGTTCTAAAGCCACAGGGATCCAAGCCCCTTAATCCAGAAGGTGACCCCAGGAGAAAGCAGCCTTCTTCCGGTCTCACTGCTCCCTCCGGGCCCCGAGAGTGGATCCCGCTGAACGAGGTGAGGAAGCAGCTGGAGCTGGTTGGCATGAGCTTTAAATGTGCGACTGGAGCTGAAAACAGTGTGGCTCAGTGGAGAGAGCGTCGGCCTGTGGACTGAAGGGTCCTGGGTTCAATTCCAGCCAAGGGCATGTACCTTGGTTACGGGAACATCCCCAGTGGGGAGTGTGCAGAAGGCAGCTGATAGATGTTTCTCTCTCATCGATGTTACTAACTCTCTATCCTCTCCCTTCCTCTCTGTAAAAAAATCAATCAAATGTATTTAAAAAAAAAAGAAAAGAAAGGTAAATGTGAGCCTGGAGAATGCTGCCTCAGTGGGGCTTGCTGTGCTGCTGCTGTCCGACCTGCCCTCACCCTCACGGCGGTGTCCACGCCCGCGGACGCCAGCCTGTGGACCCTCCCGGCCGCGCCGTGCTGGAAGTCCAGGCTGTACACCGGCTCCTTGTTGTGCCAGGCGATCTCACACGTGATGACCTTCATCCTCCCCCTCGTGGCCACCGTTCTTCCTCCGGGGACACAGGAAAGCTGAAAACGTTGGGAATGAATTGAAGAGGAGAGCGGGAATGTGAACCCTCAGGATGAGCCAGAAAGCCTAACACTCAAAACGCACAACGATAGCTTCGTTTGTTACAGCATCAGCCCTGGTACGCCACGGTTGCCGGCAGCGGCCAGGGCAGGGCACCTCCAAGGAACAGTTCACACAAGTGGCACAACAAATCATGCCCCCCTCGCTCTTTCTCCTCCTCCCTCTCTCTAAAATCAACCACTTTTTTTTTATTTTTAATGCGCGCTGCACCAGAAAGCATGCTAATATGTTCCGACACAACACCTTGCAAGTTGCACCCAGAGTGCTCTGTTGAGCCCTTGCTGGTGCGGCTCAGCGGATAGAGCCTCAGCCTGTGGACCGAAGGGTCCCAGGTTCGACTCCTGTCAAGGGAACAAGCCTGGGTTTGCGGACTCCATCCCCAGCAGGGGGTGTGCAGGAGGCAGCCGTTGATGTTTCCCTCTTTCTTCCTCTCTGAAATCAATAAAAATATATATTTGTAAAGTGCTCTGTTGAGCCCTGGCTGTTATGTTTGCTCTCCCGCTACTTGGAAAAGCAAAATGGAACACGCAGGCGGAGAAACCAGGAGGCCGCCGGCTGTGCCCCCGGGCGCGCAGAGGGAGCCAGGGCGGCAGCGAGGGAACCCCGCTTCCCAGGAGCCAGGCAGCCTGGAGGGGGCTCCGGCGGAGGGGCTCCGGGAGGAGCGGGGTCACGGGGGGAGGAGCCGCCGCCGGAGGAGGGGACAAGGGGAGAGGGGGCTGCCCGGGCTGCAAAGGGAAGGGGCCGAGACTGCCAGGGAAGCCTGCTTCCAGGGACGGGCCTCGGGGGCAGGGGACCCCCTCCCGGCCGCAGGGACAGGACGCCCGGCAGCCGAGCCTGGCCCGGCGGGAGGACACCGCGCGGGGCCGGGGCGGGAACCGGCCGCCCGAACGCGCGCCGCTCCGGAGGCAGCCCCGGCCCCCGCCGCCTGCCTCAGCGAGAGCCTCTCGCCCCGGCCCGGCCCAGCCCGGCCCGGCCCGGCCCAGAGACCCACGGGGCCGCGGGAGCCGGCAGCGCCGAGAACTCACCTACAGGGACGCGGCCACTCAGCCGCTCCAGCGCGCGCTCCAATTCCCGCGCGCCGCAGGCCCCGCCTCCCGTGGGCGGGGCCACAGGACGCCCCGTCTCCCATTGGGCGGGCCACAGGACGCCCCGTCTCCCATTGGGCGGGGCCACAGGACGCTCCGTCTCCCATTGGGCGGGGCCACAGGACGCTCCGTCTCCCATTGGGCGGGGCCACAGGACGCCCCGCCTCGGACGCCGAGCGTGGTGGTCCCGCGCTGCTGAGTCGTCCAATCAGGGCTGGCTGGCTCCTGCCGGCTCCGCGGAGCGCGCACGCGGTGGGGGAAGGGGGAGCTGTCCGTTCATTCCTTCCATCGCTTCTTCCCGCGCTCGTTCGTGTTTCCTGCAACCGCGGCCGCAGGCTGAGGCCGACTCAGACCTGCCCTCGGGGAACTTAGAAGGGCGGCCCTGCCAGACGGAACTCTGAGACGCCCGACTCCCCGGTCCTTCCCGGGTGCAGCGAACCCTGTATCGGGCTGCAGCCTGTAAAGGGCCCTGCCTTAGTCTCCAGAATTTCAATCAATAAGACTGTCCTCGACCTCCTGTAGTCACGTACGCGAGGAATTACAATAAAAAGGTAAAGTGGCCCCACCCGGACCGCACTGTCAGCAGCAGCATCTGCACATGAGGATGAGGGGCCCGGCGATGGCTGTCTGAATGACACACCCCTCCTGCCTGCTGTGTCAGCCGGAGCTTTTACTGTTTTAGCCTAAGCTGACTAGTTTGTGGGATTGAGGACCGTCTTCTCATGCTGTTTTTTTGTTTTTTACACTAGCCTTTTACAAATGTAACAAAAAAGACAGGTTCCTCAGCCCACATGGGCTATGTGCCATGAGAGTCCACAAGGCCTTTGGTCCAACTCGTTAGCCATCTTTCTCTCCAATGAGGCAGCCAGGCAGCACCTGCAATGCAGATGCCGATCGTTGGGAAGACCTTACTAAGGCCACTGTCCTTGAAGTCGAGCCCAGTGACATCATCGAGAATGTCAAACCTAAAACCCATGACAAGAAGGCATCCCTCTGTTCTTGTGGGCAAACACCTGGAGGATGACCCGACTCTCTGATTGCTACATCCGGACAGAGCCCTGCACTCGCGCCTCCTTCCATCAGCTCCAGCAGAAGTGAAACTGCTGCAAAAGGACCAGCCTGAATCCCGTGCTGTCAACCATGTCCGGAACCCTGCCCCACAGAAGGCTGAGTGAGGCCCCTCCAGCTCCTCGGCCCACAGGCGGCTTCTGCTGGGCTCCTGGGACCCTGAAGCCTCACTAACGTCGCTCTTTGTTGACCAGAGCAGTTAAAAAACATCTAGCCATATTTTCAAGAGCCCTAACTTAGCAATATTTTCTTAAAGGATGAAAAATATGTAAATACTTCCCCATTATCTGGCTATATCATCCATAAAATTCATTTTTTTGCAAGAAAAGGAAAAAATAGCAAATGCCAGAAGAATGGCTACATAGATGTTCACACACGTGGACCGCTGTCATCTGGACAGCTGCTTCAGTCTGAGTGGTTAGACACACACTTCTCTGCGGAGTGCAGCTACAGCACTCATGCTCACACTCGCTCAATAGCTCGGTCTCAGAGTCTAGTGGAAGCACTCCGAGTCTTCTAAGCTGAACTGTAGTAAAATGAGCTCAACCTTAGGGTTCTTAAAGAACACAATTTTAGCCGGGACTGGTTTGGCTCAGTGGATAGAGCGTCGGCCTGCGGACTGAAAGGTCCTGGGTTCGATTCCAGGCAAGGGCATGTACCTTGGTTGCGGGCACATCTCCAGTGGAGGGTGTGCAAGAGGCAGCTGATCGATGATTCTCTCTCATCGATGTTTCTAACTCTCTATCCTGCTCTCTTCCTCTCTGTGAAAAATCAATAAAATATATTTTTTTAAAAATTAATAAAGAACACAATTTTAGTTTTCAAAATATAATTTGAATGCAAAAGTCTTTAAAAGTAATATCTTAAGAGGTTTTTTTTTCATCATATATATTTTTATTTTATTATAAGAACTTTTGGGCAGATACAATTGTGACAGAAAACCAGCTTCATACCAAAAATACACTTTTGATTTATCAAGCAAATAAAACAATCTTCATTTATTTGCTTTTTCTAGAACTTAATGTACAGTAAAAATTTGATATTCTATATGATAGAGATGTAATTAAACACACATACAAAAAAAACATGTATTGAATGTTCAAAAACAAAAGTAAAAATAAATAGCAATGATAAAACATTGGAAAAAATAATGCACATTTTAGTTGTGGAAAATTAATTATATATACAATTAAACTTAATAGAAAGCCATCTCTTTAAAATTGCACAAAACAAGGGACCAAAAAAAGCATTATTATACTGTAATCTTATGGCGATTTGTTGCTTAACTCCAGGACACAGAACATTTAATCTGTAGCACAATGAAAGGTGTGCAGTGGTGTTTGAGAAAGACTGTCTTCCCCAACGCACATTCACCTAGAGTGATCCTATAAAAAAGCCTGCACAGGAAATTCATTCAAAGGAATATTAGCAATTCTTGTGCCCTCTTCATGCTCAGCAGCCAAAAATGGGCAGTAAACATGGTCAGTTAATATACTTGATAATTTTTTATACTGAAGATTATTTCTTTGTTGTATAAAAACACTTGAGCAGAGACCTGTTCGGCTCAGTGGATAGAGCGTCGGCCTGTGGACTGAAAGGTCCCGGGTTCAATTCTGGTCAAGGGCATGTACTTTGGTTGTGGGCACATCCCCAGTAGGGGGTATGCAGGAGGCAGCTGATCAATGTTTCTCTCTCATCGATGTTTCTGGCTTTCTATCCCTCTCTCTTCCTCTCTGTAAAAACTCAATAAAATATATTAAAACACTTGAACGATGATTGGCAATCTCAGCACAGAAAATACCCCCGCAAAATGGATGGAGACAGTTTCTGCTTACCTTATTTTCATGAGAAAAAAATATTACAGGAGATAAGCACTTATTGAAAAGAAACGTTAATGCTCAATTCACTTACAACTTATCAGGAGTTCGTCCATTTTTTACAAACGCCGATTTAAACTTCTCTGTAAGAAAACCAAAGGTAGCATTCCCATTTGCATTTATGTATGGCACAGCCCTCACTTCAGATAAAAATACTTTGGGAAACCAGAAGAGATTGCACAAGGTTAGGGGCAACCTGAAAACCTCTTGGTGAAAAACACTTACATCCTTTGGGGCAATAAAAAAATATGTGCAGACTTCATTGCAAATATTTACATTTTAAAACAGAAACATGAGTTAGCTATTCAGTTGCTGAATATCAATGCTTCACAGGCATTTCAAACGGTGTGATAATGTGTCCGCATGTCTGTGGTCACATTTGAATGCATAGGATACAGTAAAGATTATGGTCCTTCAGTCTGCCACCTATCACACATCTATAAACAAACTGATTTACATTCTGACAGCTGGACAACCAAAAGGACTGAGCAAACAGTTTTATTATCTCGCATAATACAGACTAAGAACTACTGATTTCACTCATTTGTTCAACAACTTGTCCTAAAATCTCATCGACGACATCAACGTCGTAATTCACTTGCTGCAGATCGAGGTCAGGTACAATCATGGCCAGCAGTTGTCCCACATTAACTCGGAGAGATCGCAGTTTGAAGCTGCAAATACAAGTGTTACATTTATTTAAAGAAACAAACCAAATATTACCTTTAGTAGATAAACAGTGCAATACAGTTTAATATCCATGTAGGGCATAATGCTTAAGGGGAAATTAGTCCACCAATTTAATCACTATAATTCAATGTAATAATTATGTATCTATTGGTAGTCAGTAGTGTTTCATAATACCAGTGGCTCTTTGGCTCCAACGTTTATAATTCTGACTTGAGCCTGGAGAAAACATGGACTGGCAAAATACGTAACTCATCTTCTAGAAAATAGTGACAACAGCGAGCATCCTGGCTGGTCTAAGAATAAGAGTGCACCTCTGACTCCACTGCCTGTGAAGAAAGAACTGTTCCCTAACACATGTTCTATGAGCTATCCATCACTGTGTAAGAGCAGAAAGAAATGGTTCTGGGGTCTAACCGGTTTGGCTCAGTGGACAGAGTGTTGGCCTGTGGATTGAAGGGTCCCAGGTTCGATTCCGGTCAAGGACATGTACCTTGGTTGCAGGCACATCCCCAGTAGGGGGTCTACAAGAGGCAGCTGATGGATGTTTCTCATTGATGTTTCTAACTCTCTATCCTTCCCCCTTCCTCTCTGTAAAAAAATCAATAAAATGTATATTATAATTTTAAAAAATGGTTCTGTGATCAAAGATGCTCATAAAACATTGAGTTAATTAATGCTAAACAAGACTTTTTAAAACGCAAGAATTCGTGCTAAAGGTCACTGACTATACATTTTTTAAATGCATTTACAGGAAACCAATGTCTCTCTCTCACATTGATGTCTCTCTCTCTCTCTCTCTCCCCTCCCTTCCTTTCCACTCTCTCTAAAAGCAAGGGGGGAAAAGTATCCTCAGATGAGATTAAAAAATAATAAAAATCAACAGTTACTCAAAGGTTGTGTGCGAGAGTCGTCTGCAATGCTTCAGTGTCCCGTTTAATAACCCGCACTGTGGCCCACGGACCGACATCTCTCCAACAACATGGCTGCTGTGGTCCCGTTCTTAGAAACACCAGCGGGAGTTTTTCTGAACCCTTCCCTCCAGCTTATGTGCAGCACTACGCACAACAGATTTAGTGAAGTCCTTCAAAACTTAAGCTGGAAAACAGTACTGATACAACTCATGGTCAAGTGAGGGTGGTAGCTTATTTCTCAATAGCACCTTTTAGCTCTGAAGTCCTATCATATTATATTAGCAAAAAAGTGGCACCATCTTAGCCCTGAATGTCTACTTATGAATGGCAAACCATCAACACGGCACCAACACTGCCCCCCACCACCTCAACATATCCACTCTCAAGAACAAATCAAAACAGAAACCCAGTTCCATTTTATACGTTACTGAGACAGGGTGGGGGTAGTCCTTCATTTGCTTTTTTCTGATTTTCACAGAACTTCTTCCTAATAATCACCTGTACTAAGGCAATTTTCAGTAACGGTGGGATTTCCCAAAAGTTAAGATGGGGGAAGGCACGTAGTAGTGAAAGGAGGATAGCAGACCTTGAAGAATGGTGCCAATACAAAAGTAAAAGAAATCAAACCTTCCAAACCACTCTGGCCAATCCAGAGCTTCGGCCGCTGGAACTATTTCACTTAAGTTGGATCTAAACGTTAGTCTCTGAGGTAAGGATGATAATATGCACTTCTCTTTCTCTATCACCATGTTGGGGTCAGAGCAGTCAGTAACTGCTCTGGATAGAGTACCTGTTAGATGTGTGATAGCAAATTAGTATCTCATATCCAGCACTACGGACAGCAAAGTGGCTCAACTGAAATTACCTTTCCCCATCAGCGTAATTTACAGACTCTTCGATAGTACTGGAAGTTGAAACATCTGTTCCTCTGTGTTCATTTGCAGATTTTAATTGTTCAATTTCAGTTTTCAGTTCTTCACACTGTGAACGAATTTGTGATTTCTCCATTTGCAGTATTTCAACCTGACAAGAAATTTATAATTACTGTAAAATTTAGAACTACTGATATAAAAGTACAAATTTAAGATAAGAATGTAGAAAACCTGCTTGATCAAAAGTACCACAAAAAAAATTAGACAAAACCCCCAAAAGCTTTCAATGTTTAGTTTCATTTTCCCATCTTTGTACACAGGAAGGAACAAAAGTTCATTACAACTTTCTAAAAATATATATGGTACCTGAAAACTAGGAAACCAAGATTACAATGCCTAAATGACGCTGGTGTCAGTGTGTGGTTTCTGGCACACTCCCCCACTCTGGTGATGAACCAAACCTCAGACTGACTGTGAGCGATGAGGTCACCTAGCTTCATCACACAAAGATGAAGTCTGAGCACTTCTGTCAGCAGTATTTCCAGGAACAGGCATGTTGTTTCCAAATTCTACTTAGCTGAGAAAAACCCTCCTTTCAAACACCATGTACATATCTTATATAATAAAAAGCCCTAACTGCTAAGTGTCTGGTCATCCAATAGGCCAATCAACCAATCCTATATAATAATCCTTTATAATAAAGAAATATGCAAATCAACCATCACTCCCAACACACAAGATGATCGACCCCATGTGGACACAAGATGGATAGCAGGTGGGGGCAGTTGTGGACAATCAGGCCAACAGGGGAGAGCAGTTAGGAGTGACCAGGCCAGCAGGGGAGGGCAATTGGGAGGGACTAGGCTGGAAAGGGAGGGCAGTTAGGAGTTACCAAGCTGGCAGGGGAGAAGTTAGGCGTCAATCAGGCTGGCAGGGAAGTGGTTAGGAGGTAATCAGGCTGGCAGGCAGGAGAGCAGTTGGGAGCCAGCAGTCCTGGATTGTGAGAAGGATGGCCAACTGCCCAATAGAATCAGGCCTAAACAGGCAATCAGATATCCCTCGAGGGGTCCCAAATTGGAGATGGTGCAGGCTGGGCCGAGGGGACACACCCCATGCATGAATTTCGTGCACTGGGCCTCTAGTCAAAGCATACTATGCTAATGATATGCTAAGGCTGCTCAATTGCTATGACATGCACTGACCACCAGAGGGCACAGCTGACAGGTCAACCAGTTGCTGACATGCCCTGATCACCAGGGGACAGATGCTCAATGCAAGAGCTGCACTCTGGTGATCAGTGTACTCCCGCTGAGCCATCAGTCAGAAATCCCCTGGGGGCTCCCAGACTCCAAGGGCACAGGCTGGGCTGAGAGTCCCCCCCACCAAGTGCACAAATTTCATGCACTGGGCCTCTAGTGATACATAAAATAATGTTCCTTAAAAAGGAGATACCAAATTGGACCTGGAGGCAGTACAGAGGCCAATACTTAGTTCCTGATACTAAAATATCCTTCTTCCTCAGTAAAGAACCCCTGAATAGACTGAAATTCCAGGGCACCCATTAGCCAGTTAAGTCAAGTCCCAACAGATGGAATATACAACTCTGAGGAACAGCATCTTCCTCTTCCCTATTGCTTGGAATGTTAGCTACGTGAGGGCTGGGCCTGAAAAGCCAGCTCAGACCACAACTGCACACTGTGAAGCAAAGCAACTAAGCAATGTCCTGTCCACTACAGGACACTTACCAGACCTGTCACCACCGCTGGATCCCAGCACTGCCCATCTACAGACAATTTAAGAACCAAAATTACCCTACACATTTTCATATGCCCCCAGAAGGCTGATCCTCGGTGGAGAGCCAGGACCATGGCATGCAATCAGTGGAAATTCGGACTGAGCTATGTACTTCACTCTGGCAGCTGGCAGTGGTCTCAGGATTCCCATGACCACCAGGATGCTGACTGACAGAACTCACCTCACTTTTATACTGGTCCCTCTCAACAGTGCACTTGTCCAGCTGTCTAAATACATCATCAAGCTGCACAACCATTTCATCCACCTCGCTCTTACTGTCATTATTGGAACACTGACTACATTCATGCTTAACGTGCTGCAAAGCACTGCACTGTTTTTTTAGCCTTTCTATTTCGTCCAGAGCTTGCCGATACTGAGATACCATGTGGTCTACACTTTCAGATTTGCCATTAATACTTTCAAGTAAATACACAGCATCGGTTTCAGTAGATTGATGGCAAGTTTCCTTCTTCACGTATTTGTCATTCATTTCTAGTATCCTCTGTTGTAACAGCCTGATTTGGTCAGTGAACACATGACATTGTCTTTTATAATCTTCTTTTTCTTGGGAAACTAGCAGCAGCTCATTTCTCAGTTCATTTATCTGGCACCCAGCATCACCCACAGCTTTATCAAAGGTCTCTGGCGCCTCCTGTGCCTTCGCTTCAGCTTCCACACAGGATGGCGGTGCAGCCGTATCGTTTCTTGAATTGACGTCATCTTCAATAGTTTCTTCCTTTTTAACCACCAGGCCTGGGACTTCAGTCTGGGTGGCCACAGCAGTTGCTTGCTCACACCTGGATGGCAAGGTGCCTGTTGAACTCGTCTGGTCACAAGATTCGCAGTCACCCATAGGCTGATCCTGAACAGTATTTTGCTCGATGTCACTCTGTTCTGGTCTCGCTGCAGCATTATGCTCTACGGCGGGCTTGGGAGTACTGTTTTCTTCTAGGATGATGACATCTTCATCATCCTCTTTATAAGCTCGAGTTTCAAATGCTTGATTACTCAACCTCGGAGTCTTGGCATTCAAAATTGAGGAACGAGGAGTAGAAAGTCTCCGTTTCATGCTGCAAAAGATTTTATATGCAAATTGTTATGAAATATAGATATGAACAAAATAGATGACTTTGAATTATTCTACCTTAAAATTTGAAGAACTGCTTACTCATGCTGTGTTTTACAACAGTGATACATTATTGCATAGTACCATCCAATGAGTTCAATGGAGTACAGACCGTCTGTTCCCTCTACACCCGAACAAACACTGCTGAGAGGTCTTTAAAGCATCAGATGAGTCTATTGCCAACATCTCTTCATTTGCTGTCCTCTGGGCACTTCAAGGTACCCATGTCCCAGCCAGAATGCACCACCACCACAGGTCCCCCTTTGTATTTCAAAGCTCAGGGAGTGGCACTGCCATCCGATCTGCCCATCGTGATTTGCACTGACATTCAGTGATCAAGTGAGCCACAGAGCAAACCTGGATGACCTGTCCTTTCATGTAACACAATATTCTTCATTTCCTTAGGTTTCTGGGAATTTATCACCAGTTGATTACTTTTTGCACCACTTTTAAAAGGATATTTGTACTAGTTTCCTGTTTGGGCCTTCTGTGTCAGACCTCACGTTTCCTTGATTTAAGATTTTCTGCCCCAACCAGGTGTCTCAATTGGTTGGAACATCAGCCATTGCATCCAAAGATTGCTGGTTCGATTCCCAGTCAGGGCACATACCTAGGCTGCAGAAACGATCACAGTAGGGGTGCATACAGGAGGGAATGGCTCGATGATTCTCTCCAACATCAATATTTCTATTTCCTCCCTTACTATCTTTCAAAAATAAAATAAAAAAAATAAAAAATGTATCCTAAGAGGAGGATTAAAAACAAAGAAAGAACTTCCTTTCTTGGTTTATTCTCTATAGAAGGAGTACAAATTCTAATAAAATCTTGAGAAGGCATAACCAGGACATAAAAAATGTAAAACTTTGCTGATGAAGATGTCTTTATTTACCTCGTGTGTTTACTGGATTGGTTTAATACAGACTTTAAGGTTGGTAGTTACTTTCTCAAAACTATAGAAGCATCCGGTTCCCATACACACTCAGTGTGCTGCCAGTCTCAGCCTGCCTTTGTGCAGTTTGTTCCTCCGTGTCTAAACTTCATGACGTGCCCTAACAGGTTTGGCTCAATGGATAGAGCGTCGGCCTGCAGAATGAAGAGTCCTAGGTTTGATTCCAGCCAAGGGCACATGACCGGGTTTGTGGGCTCAATCCCCAGTAGAGGGCCTGCGGGATTCTCTCTAATCATTGATGTTTCTCTCTCTCTCCCTCCCTCTCCCTTCCTCTCTGAAATCAATAAAGAAATACATTTAAAAACAAAAACAAAAAAACGTGGGAAGACACTTTCCCCAGACATCGTGCTGTGTGTAGTGGAATGAAGGCTTTCTTCCATTACTTCCTCCCTTTGTTTTCGGATTCACTATTCAGATGCTGACCTTCCTGTTTCCTCTTTTTCTACCTCCAGCTGTGTACCTTTCCATTCTAAGAGGCTCACTTGTCCAACATCTCCCCACCTCCCAGCCAAGTTACATGGTTTCTTCACGCCCTTCCTCCCGTTTTTACATCGTGATCCTTGGCCCTCTCTTTCTATAATATTTCAGAGTGAGAGTGGGGCTTGCGATTCAAGAGCACGCAAACACTGTGCATCCAGAGCTGTATCTTGGGAACCAGTGAGGGAGGAAGAGGGGTTTCCCACTGCTCAGTATTCAAATATTTGCTCACTCCTGTTTTCAAAACAGTGGCGCCCAGACATCTTCAGCAGAAAACACTGGTCCAGAAGGTCACCTTCCCACCTCCTGACAGAGGAGAGCAAGCAAGCCTCCTGTTCTCGGCCTAGTTTTCACCTTCAGAAGAACTGGTGTTTCCAAGTTCTCATCTGTCCAGAGATCTCCGGAGTTAGCCAGTAGATTGGAAATTGCCCCATTATTTTTCTTACCAGGCTTACTTCTAATTTGTCATTGTCACAGACTTTGACTCTATGAATTTGAGTATAGGCGTTAAAAATGTCCTCTATTCTCTTCTTCCATTTTAATGATAGTCACTTTTAAAAAGAAATTCCATCCTTTTTTCTCTGTAAACTACAGATATTTCTTTTTCTAACTTTGTCTGGAACCATCTTTATGAAGAAAAACCAGGAAGACAAAGAAAACTGGTTTTTAAAAATTCACACAAGTTTCTAGTGAAGTAGCAGCCCGACCCCAAAAGAAGTCCCTCAATGTGAGCTGGAAGGGCAGCTCCATGTGCATATGCACAAAGGCAATTCTTTCTGTTTCCCAAGGTCACAAATCCCTTGGAGAATTTAACGAAGGTCACAAAACCTCTGTCAAAATCTGGCATCACACTCTCAGAGAATCTTGTCCCAATGTTTCTTTCAACAATAAGCATCAGTTGTAGTCAGTCTGATCCACCAGTCCACTCACCTCACCTGTTCTTTCCTTCCCTCTGAACGGGCCCTGTGCACAGAGTTCTGCATTCAGGGTTTCAGGAACCAACTGAGGTAAGCACAACCTCATCACGAGCCTTCCCAGTCATTCCAGTCAAGAAAGCTAATTGTTCAAACCTCTATCACTCATCCTTTTTATCCCTTCCTTCTCCAAACACTCATCCAAAATATAGTGTCAAGGGCTGTGCTAAAAATGTATAGTTCACACCTGACGTTATAATATTACTAGAGGCCTGGTGCATGGATTCGTGCACAGATGGGATCCGGCCTGCAGGCCCGGATTGGGGAGGGAGGGGGCCTGATCAGGGCGTGGCAGGGCAGGGGAAGGGGCTACAGCGTTGGCGGGCCAGCCCCACCTCCTGGTAGAACGTCTTATAGAGGGGACAATTTGCATATTAGTCTTTTATTATATAGAATACGCTTAATTATTTTGTTTTCTTCTTTACTCCATTACTGGCAAAAACCGCCCTGGCCAGTGTAGCTCAGTTGGTTGGAGCATCACGCCATATAACAAAAATGAGCAGGTTCCATTCCCAGTCAGGGCATGTAAGGAGGCAACCAATCAATCTTTCCCTCTCACAATGATGTTCCTCTATCACTCTCAAAAAAAAAAAAAAAAAAAAAAAAATCAATAAAAACGTCCTCGGGTAAGGAGTAAAAAAGAAAAGGCAGAATATTTCATGCTATCGGAAATCTCAGAGGTAACAATTTGATGAAATTCCACAATAAATACAATTAATATTTGTAATTGATTTAAATAGGTGGCATAAGTGGGATATGATAAGTACATGTGGATACTATGAGCATTCACCTGTCCTTAAGACTTTTACATGCATCTAAACTACAGTTTCTTAGATGTGCCTGCCAGTGCCCAGAAAAGGCTGTTTAATTGTCGCCCCTAACAGGAAGCACATTCTGCCACTGACCTGTTGCTCTCAGGCTCAGCCTGGGGTGAGCTCCTGTTGTTTACAAGTCTTGCTGCATAAGTGGTCGCTGGTTCAGAACTATGTCCTCTTGGAACACTGTCCTTCGCGGGAGAAAAACTTTGACTTGGCAAAGAAATTGTTCGAAACAACAGTTCAGTATCAATCTGTTGGAGGGAGAAAAAACTTTTCTTAAATTTTTTTTAACGTTCAAGACCCAAAACAAAATATATTTTTTTCCCTTTTCTCTTTATGCAGAAGATGCTGACAACTATCCTACCCTGTCACCTCCTTGTGCTACACTAGGGAGCAAAACACAACAGGCCAAGAGCCACATCCATCCTGCAAGTGAGCTAAGAATGGATTTATGTTTCTTAAGGTGTGACTAAAACAAATGAAAAATATGCCATGGAGACTATATGTAGTCCACAAAGCCCAAAACGTTCACTATCTGGTCTTTTACAGCAAGGATCATGGTCTTTTACAGCAAGGATCAGTTGGCTCTGTAGTATATAGAGAACTTATGCAGATATAATAAAAACTTTTTTTCTAAGAGAAATAAGTTAAAGATAGTCATAAGGATACTGCCTTTAAAAACAAGTAAACCCACTATTCTTACATCCCAGTTCTGTTTTCACCCCTAATCCTAAGCTTTATATAAGAAAATATTTCAACATAATTATAAGCAAACATACACATCTGCAGCAGATCAAAACTTCCACACAAGCAGGAGCACCTAGTCACATACTCAGAACAGGCTCCTCAGCACCAGTAAGCAATCAGAAAGGAAGAAAGGGGCGGGGGGAGTGGTCAACAGAGACAAAGAAAACCCCACAGCTTTGGTCCAGGTCAGGACTAGAACTTGGCTCCTGGGTGTTCCTGCATACCTTTCCTTGACTGCCTAGCAACAGGTTCTAAAAAGAATGTCTGCCTTTCCTCAGAAGATGCCCTGCCTTGGCCGGTGTGGCTCAGTGGATACAGCATCGGCCTGCAGACTGAAGGGTCCCAGGTTCAATTCCCGGTCAAGGGCACATGTCCAGGTTGCTGGCTCAATCCCCAGTAGGGGGCATGCAGGAGGCAGCCGATCCATGATTCTTTCTCATCATGGATGCTCCCCTCTCTCCCTCTCCCTTCCTTTCTAAAATCAATAAAATTAGATATTAAAAAAAAAAAGGATGCCCCACTAAATAATAAAACTGAACAGTTTAGCACAGCAGTGTGGCTCAGTGGTTGAGCATCAAGGCACATGACGGGGTTTCAGGCTTGATCCCCAGTAGGAGGGAGTCAAATGATCAATCAATCAATGTTTCTCTCTCATTGGTAATATTTCTCTCTCTCTCCCCCTCTTCTCTTGAAACATTTTTTTTGTTTCTTTGTTTTTGGAACAGACTGAATGAAGTTGTCGGGTTAAGAAGTCAGGGTTGGAAAGTGGGCAAGGAGGAGTATAAGAAAAGAGAAATGCTTGAACTGAAAGAACACAATCACTTCAATTTGCATGCAACTCCTAATCTTTAAAAATATCTGTGCCCTAGCCAGTTTGCCTCAGTGGTCCGAGTCAGCCCTCGGGTTTGATTCCCAGTCAAGAGCCTGGTTTGAGGCCTGTGAGACAACCAATGGATATTTCTCTTTTTCTCCCCTTCCCCCCCACTCCCCGCCATGCCCCTGGGCAACTCCTGTAAAAAAAAAAAATGGAAAAAAAAAAAAAGGAAAAATACCCTCATGTGAGGATTAACAAAAACAATGTGTTGAAGTAATCCCTACCCAATAGGAGACCCGGCTATAAATGGAAGGCTTCGTTACCTGAGGGATCCTCTCCAGTTGTCTGATCCTGAATCTGTCCTTGTCTCTTAAAAAGAAGAAAGGAAAAGATATTTAAATCTCCTCGACACCTCACTCCACGTCCCCGGGATGTGCACACTGGAGTCAGGTGCATCAGTGCGCCTTCCACCCTGACTCCCACCACTGACGCCCAGGCCTCAGCTGTCCTCCCCACTGTCCACGGGCCTTGGAACGGGAATTCCACACAGGCCTCACTGGTCTGTGGACCCCCGTCCTGCTGGATTTAAACAGTGCACCATAAATCAAAAGTTCCAGAAAGTACTGTGAACTCTGCCCTATGTGTGCAGCACTTTAATCTAAGTTCACCAAGGCTGACCACCATTACTCGTGACCTAACATCCCTAGCCCACCTCCATTTCCACGTGACCACTCACATACTTCCTCTAGTTAAAGAGACAAACCATTGTGCCCTGTGCATTCTCATCCTACCTGCAAGGCCTGTTACAAACATGTCCTTCATGAACTCCCTGATCCATGCTGCCCTCTGCATCCTGGGGCCAGAAGTAATCCTCTGTATGGCCTTCCCAATAGGACTAGAACAGTGGTCGGCAAACTGCGGCTCCCAAGCCACATGCGGCTCTTTGGCCCCTTGAGTGTGGCTCTTCCACAAAATACCACGGCCTGGGCGAGTCTATTTTGAAAAAGTGGCGTTAGAAGTAATTTAAGTTTAAAAAGTTGGGCTCTCAAAAGAAATTTCAATTGTTGTGCTGCTGATATTTGGCTGTGGACTAATGAGTTTGCCGACCACTGGGCTAGATCATGCCTCGCATGGTATTTGTTAACTTCTAAATGGTAATATTCTCATCTCACCTTCCCTGTTAGACTATCCTAGCCAATAAAAGTGTAATATGCAGGGAGAGAAACCAAGATGGCGGCATAGGGTAGACACCTGAATGCAGCCTACCACAACAAATTTGAATTTAAAACTGGAAAACAGGAGAAACATCGCCCTGAAGCGCCGGACAGTAGGCTGAGAGGAGGCTCTATCATCTGGAAGAAGAGAGAAGGCACGCTGAACCTCAGGAACTGTGAAGGTGCGGAGAACTGTGCATGCGAAAAGGCAGCCGCCCGATTTCTCTGCCGGCTTGCTTGCGGAGCGCAGAGAGGGCAGGCAGAGTTCGCTACTGGCTTATTCCCCGCACGGAGAGGGCGGACAGCTAATGCATGGCTGGCTTTCTTATTTGAGAGGAAAACAGAACCACCCTATTGCTCTGATAGACGGCCCCAGACAGGGAGAGGCCAGATTGTCAGGCAGTGGGCAGAGATCTCTCGGAGGTGTGTGAAGCCAGCGGCCATTACTGTGGGACTCAGAAATCAGACCCTTGTAGGGAGGGGCTGAATAAAGCTTGTCTGCACCACCCGAGACTCCACCCCATCCAAGCAGAGCACAGAAGCCCTTCCAGTGGCCAGCTTTCTCTTTCACTGCGAATAGGACTCTCCTAGGGAGGGACAGACAGGAATCCAAAGCTTGTCTGCGCCTATACCAAAGAGGTGTGCGCACCTGCAACCAATCTTGCAGGATTCAACAAACCTTGTCTGTGCCACCCCAAGACTCCGCCCCATTCAAGCAGAATACAGAAACCCTCCTAGCTGAGACACTTCCGATCCTCATAGCCCATTGGCTTGGAGATCAACGCTTCCCAGTGATACCAACAACAAGCAAAGCTTAACAACACGACTGCACACACAACCCACAAGGGCTACACCAAGACTGTCTACCTCAAGTAACTAGGAGGCTGACCCACTGAACCATATAGGACACCTTAGCACACAAAGCCACCCTACCAACTCAGGGAAGCTGTGAAAATGCCGAGACAAGGAAACAGATCACAAACAAAAGAAAGGACAAGAAACAACTGGATATAGAGTTCAAAACCACACTTATAAGGTTTTTCAAGAATTTCCTAGAAAAGGCCGATAAAATAAACGAGACCTCTGAGGATATGAAAAGGGATCAACTAGAAATAAAGAATACATTGTCTGAATTAAAAAATATTATACAGAGATTGCAAGAATCCAAAGATTTGAAACACAAAGAGCCAGAGGACACACCTCCACAGAAGCAAGAATATAAGAGAATCCAGAAAGTTAAAGATAGTGTAAGAAACCTCTGGGACAATTTCAAATGAACCAACATCAGATTTATGGAGGTCCCTGAAGAAGAGAGAGAGCAAAATACGGAAACATACTGAAAGAAATAGTGACAGAAAACTTCTCCCACCTGGTGAAAGAATTAGACTTACAAGTCCAGAAAGTGCACAGAACCCCAAACAAAAGGAATCCAAAGAGGACCACACCAAGACACATCATAATTAAAATTCCAAGAGCAAAAGACAAAGAGAGAGTATTAAAAGCAGCAAGAGCCGAGACCGGTTTGGCTCAATGGATAGAGCATCGGCCTGCAGACTGAAAGGTCCCGGGTTTGATTCCGGTCAAGGGCATGTGCCTTGGTTGTGAGCACATCCCCAGTAGGGGTTGTGCAAGAGGCAGCTGATCGATGATTCTCTCTCATTGATGTTTCTAACTCTCTATCCCTCTCTCTTCGTCTCTGTAAAAAAAATCAATATATTTAGTAAAGAAATAAATAAAAATAAATAAATACAGCAAGAGAAAAGCAGGTAGTTACCTATAAAGGAGCACCCATAAGATTGTCAGCTGATTTCTCAACAGAAACCATGCAGGCCAGACAGGAATGGCAAGAAATATTCAAGGTGATGAATAGCAAGAACCTACAGCCAAAGATAATCTACCCAGCAAAGCTATCACTCAGAATCGAAGGCCAGATAAAGAGCTTCACAAATAAAAAAAAGCTAAAGGAGTTCATCACTGCCAAACCAGAATTATATGAATTGCTCAAAGGGGTTCTTTAGGAAGAGGAAGAAGATAAAGATAAAAATTATGATCAACAAATACGTAACTATCAAAAAGTGAAACTTAAAGCCAAGGGAATTAAAAAACCTGATGAACAATAATAACTGGTGAATATAATAGAATCAGAGGTATGGAAGGGGAGTGGACTGACGATTCTCAGGGGGAAAGGGAGTGGAGGGTGCAGGAAGAGCCTGAACAAAAACTGTGCACCTATGGATGAGGACAATAGGGGGTGGGGAAAGGGCAGAGGGTGGGGTGGGAACCTGGTAGAGGGGAAAAAAATGAGGAACATTTGTAATAATATGAACAATAAAGATTTATTTTTTTTTTTAAAGAGTAATATGCAAATTCCCATCACTGCAAAATACAAGATGGCCATCCCCATAAAGTCAAAGATGGCTGCACCCATGTGGACACAAGATGGCAGGGAGGGCAAATAGGGACAACCAGGCCAGCAGGGGTTACTGGGCCAGCAAGGGAGGGCAGTTGGGGGAGACCAGGCCTGCAGTGGAGGGAAGTTGGAGGGCACCAGGCCACCATTGGACGGCAGTTGTGGGGGACCAAGCCTGCAGGGAAGGGCAGTTGGGGGTGACCCGGCTGGCAGAGAAGAGGAGTTGATAGCGACCAGGCCAGCAGGGAAGGGCAGTATGGGGCAATTGGACCGACTGAGGAGCATTTAGGTATCGATGAGTCTGGCAGAGAAGTGATTAGAGAATGATCAGGCAGGCAGGCATGCAAGCAGTTGGGAGCCAGCAGTCGTGGATAGTGAGAGGGATCCCAGAATGGAGAGGGTGCAGGCTGTACTGAGGGATACCCATTCCTGTGCATGAATTTCATGCACCAGGCCTCTAGTAAGCTCATAAAGGACAATATTCACTCATGATGCGTGGCCCCAAAAGACAAACTATCTGTATGCAAACTACCTTGTACATAGGGCAGCAATAAACAGGGATGACAAAAAGAAGTGTCCACAGCATGAACTTTTTTTAAAACCCACTTGCTGTTATGCACCCAACAAATTATTTTTCTTGGGTCATAATCTTTTTGGCTGTACACAACCCGTGAACAAGGGTCTGAGCTAAACACAGACTTGTTCTCAATAAACACAGTCAAACCTCTGTATCCTTAGGTTTCACATCTGCAGATTCAACCAACCACGTACACAGAGGGACAACTTAAGTTGTAGGCAGATTTGTGACAGCAGAATTAAGGTCTCCCTAACCGCCAACCTCCACCCCACTGTTCAAATCAGCGAATACTGCAGATGCATTAATTCCTCTCCCACCGCAAATCAGTGCACCCTCACCTCTTCTTGTAGGTTTTTTCATAAGTCGGATGCACCAAATCTTCATCTTCAGGTTCTTCTGGAACATCACAATTTCTGTCATAAAAATCACAGGAAGAGCAGTCAGCAGTGCCTCGCCATACACCTGGAGCAGCGTTTCCTTCTTCCCGAACGGGACACTCCCGACTCTCCGGTACCTGAACTGCGGGTCAGGGTTATTGGAGCAATACCATTTCTCTGGGAGATGCTCTATCCCATCCGGTAATTTTCGCCACTTTAGACAGGAATCACACTGAACCCATGTCTGATCAGGACGCTTCCTGTAATAAAAAAATACATATTAGCATGGAAACATGGATGCTAAGTGCACTTCCATTAGCTTTTCCATATTATTTCCATAATAAAATGCCCCTATTATTTAATTCTATCTCTGAAAACTCATGACATATATTATTGTGTACAGCAAGTTAAAACAATTTTGATTACCTTCAAGATTAAAAATGACAGGGCAATTTATTTTTTTAAATATATATATTTTATTGATTTTTTACAGAGAGGAAGGGAGAAGGATAGAGAGCTAGAAACATCAATGAGAGAGAAGGATAGAGAGCTAGAAACATCAATCAGCTGCCTCCTGCACACCCCTCTTACTGGGGATGTGCCCGCAACCAAGTTACATGCCCTTGACCGGAATCGAACCTGGGACTTTTCAGTCCACAGGCTGATGCTCTATCCACTGAGCTCTATCCATTGGCGACAGGGCAATTTAAATTACTTAAATATATTATTAAAAAGCATACTATTAAACTTACTCCAAGTTAATAAAAACTCAAAACAACTCAAAATATTTCAAATGCCTTGCTCTGAAATCTAGTGTTTGTACCTGTGAAGACAAATCTATATATAAAAGCCAGCAGAATGCCCCAACGACCAAACGGTTGCTATGATGCCCAAGGAGCCCCTGAAGAGGCCTAATTGGGGTGTGGAGCTAGCCCATCCCATCCCAATAGGACCACAGCCCCTCCCCCCAGCCAGCCCCACCCCTGATTGTCCCCCCCCCCCCAATTGGGGACAAGGCCCACCAGACAATTGCCTGCAGCCCCTCCCCCAACCCTGATTGGGGTAGGACTGCTGGCTAACTTCTGCCTTCTCCTCCTCCCCACAGGCCCAGCCCTCATCACCTCTTGGGGACAGGATGGCCGGACCCCACCCATGCACGAATTCGTGCACTGGGCCTCTAGTATATTTATTAGCAAAATAAATCACCAGGTACAGAAAACAGACAAGTTGTATTACTACAGTTTAAGCAACTTTTTACAATTGTACTACATTTTATCCTCTATTATAGCACATCTCTGAACAACTTAAAATTTATATGTTCTTTCAGTTTATAAAGTACTTTTTTATTTTTATCACTTAATAATTACACTGATCCTGTAAAAAGTGTGAGACTCATTTAACATATAAAGACTTCATTTTAATGCCTGTAATTTTTTAAATGTAGTTTTGAAAAATGCATTTATAGCCGAAACCGGTTTGGCTCAATGGATAGAGCGTCCGCTTAGGGACTGAAGGGTCCAGGGTTCGATTCTGGTCAAGGGCACGTACCTTGGTTGTGGGCACATCCCCAGTAGGGGGTGAGCAAGAGGCAGCTGATCAATGACTCTCTCTCATCGATGTTTCTAACTCTGTATCTCTCTTCCTTCCTCTCTGTACAAAAATCAATAAAATATATTTTTTCAAAAATGCATTTATAAAATTAGATGAATCTTCAAACAGTCCAGAAGCTTATAAATAAGTATAAACTGATTTCAGGAGGTTACATTATTGCATGTGTAGACACACACACAAAATAAATAAGAAATTAATACACCGAGTTGTATCTTTCTTGTTCTTCTCTTTTTTCTTTTTTTAAAAATATATTTTATTGACTTTTTACAGAGAAGAAGGGAAAGGGATAGAGAGTTAGAAACAAGAATGAGAAAAAAACATCGATCAGCTGCCTCCTGCACACCTCCTTCTGGGGATGTGCCTGCAACCAAGGTACATGCCCTTGACAGGAATCGAACGGGGGACCCTTCAGTATGCAGGCTGACACACTATCCACTGAGCCAAAGATAGTTAGGGCTCTATCTTTGTTTTTCATTATGCATCTTGAATATCTTCCCATTGGTACACACAGTAAACATCAGTACTCATTCATAGGATTATTACTATGTGCTCAGTGGGCTTCTGAGTTTGTCACACATATCTTTTAACTAGAGGTCCAGTGCACAAAATTCATGCATGGGTAGAGTCCCTAGCCCTGGCTGATGATCAGGGCCAGCAGGAAATTGGGGGCCCCGCTGGCACTCGCCTTGGCTGGCCTGGAACCTGTGGGCTGGGGGCAGCTCCTGCATTGAGCTTCTGTCCCCCCTGGTGATCAGTGAAAATCACAGAGACCAGTCATTCCACAGGTCGTTCTGCTGTTCATTCAATTTGCATATTAGACTTTTATTATTTAGGATTCTTACAATCCTAGGAGAAATGGAAGCTTAGAAGAGGCTAAGTAAGAAATTCAATGTCACATGGTTACTTAAGCAGCAAAACTAGAATCCAAACTCAAGACTGGTTTGTGAGATAATACAACACATGGGTAAAAACTTTATAATCATGAATCTTTTGTGACTATGTATAAATGTATATATTCATTAGTTCACTATTCTAAAATGTTTTTATTGATTTTTAGAAAGAGAGGGAGAAAGAGAAGGAGGGAAACATTGTCATTGTTCCACTTATTTCTGCATTTATTGGTTGCTCCTTGTACATCCCGACTGGACATTGAACCCAAAACCTTGTCATATGGGGACAACGCTCTAACCAACTGAGCTTACCTGTCCAGGGCCTATTCATCAAGTCATTTTATGGTCTGCTGATTTAAATTATAGAATTTATTACTTACTTTGGGTGAGAGTCAAGTGTAAACACTACACAGTCACTGTACCCTCTAACATCACTGTACCTTCTACATCTTGATAGTAGAGAGTGTTGACTTTTTAATGTAAACTTACTGTATATCTTCAACAGGCAAATTTAGAGGGTATTCTGCATTTTTCTTCACTTTCATTTCATTCCAGTAATCATTCAGTTTATCTCCCAGTGCTAGTATTGTAAGCCTGAAAAGTAAATTATCAAACCAATTTAAGAAAAAATAATGATCAGATTAAATCTTTGTCAAACACAGAAAAAGCACAATTTAGCAATGACAGGTGGACACTGGGAGGGTAGGGAGTAGGGACAAAGGACCCCCAAAATTACAGTTAATAAAAAACACTCAATGTAACAGCAATTTTCTAGAAAGGACCTTTTTAAGCGCCTAGTGCAGAACAAGGATCCTCTGGGGAGGAAGACACAATATAACACTTTGGGTTCCTTGTTGTGGCAGAATGTGGCCACCAATTATGGTGACAACCACATTATGGTAACAACCAATTATGGTGACAGGCTCTCTGAATTTCAACTCCAACTGTCCACCTTTCAATTCAAGTCAAACTCTTAACGTTTTGTGCATGAAAGTATGCAACCATTACCAGCAAATATATTTCAAATAGCTTCTGTCCCACAATTAAAGACTTTCACTTCTCTCACGGTAAGATGTCTTTTCTTGAGTTTATTAGCATGACACTGGCTAATAAAATTACATAGGTTTCAGGTATACAACTGTATAATAATACATCATGTGTTTACTGCACTGTGTTTTCACCACCCCAAGCTCCGTAAGATGTTACAAAGCAGGTCAATGAGACCAACTGAAATAAACAAGACTAAAGCCACAGTTCTTCCTCGTCTCTTTTTCTCATCACCTCTACTCCTCATCCAAGACACTGCACCCAGTTCTGTTGAGAATATACGTAGGAGAGGAACTGCAGGGTCCTGTGGTGAGCATTTACTTGACAGCCTAATAGTTTTCAAAAATGAACAATCAACAGTTTTATATCCCGCAGCAATGTACGATGAGAGCTCCAACTGCCTACATCTTGCCAGCATTTGCCTGTTGTCTTCACTGTAAATAATGTATCCACTTTTGCTCATTATGAGGGAAGCTTTTTGCATCTTGTTTAAAGAACCTGCCTAACTAAAGATTATAAAAGTATGCCGAGATCAGTTTGGCTCAATGGATAGAGCGTCACCTTAGGGACTGAAGGGTCCTGGGTTTGATTCTGGTCAAGGGCATGTACCTTGGTTGCAGGCATATCCCCAGTAGGGGGTGTGCAAGAGGCAGCTGATCGATGACTCTCATCGATGTTTCTAACTCTCTATCTCTCTCCCTTCCTCTCTGTAAAAAATCAATAAAATATATATTTTTTAAAATAATAAAATAAAAAAAATAAAGATTATAAAAGTATGCCTGTTTCCATTTTGATTTTGTCTCAGTTAGGTCTACAATCCATCGAAGAGCTGGCCTTTCACTTCATTGCAGAGGCAGGAGTTAAAGTTCATTTTATCTGTACAGACAGCCAATGACCTGGTCTCTTTTGGAAAGATGACCATTTTCTCACCGCACTCCAATGCCACCTTTGCCACAGCATATGTGTGAAAACTGGGGGTTGTTTTTTGACTTCTCTACTCCATTTCACTAGACTGTCTACCCTCTCATTAACACCCGCTTTCTTAGCTACTACAGCTTTCTAAGAGTTACTTAGTACTATGAATCTTCTTGCTTCACTGTTCTTTAATGACTGTCTTAATTGTTTTCAGTCTTCTAACTATCTACTTGGAAGTTTAGATTAAGCCTATCAATTTATCAACATCCACACACACCTAATGGGTTTTTTTGATTCTTTTTAAAACTGAAATTGCATTTAATTATTTTGGAGAAAAACTGACACTTCATAATACCCAGTGTTCCAATTCTTCAACATAGTATACCTACTTATTTAGGTCTTAAATTTCATTCCACAATGTTTTGTGGTTTTCAGTGTTATCGAGGTCTTTGTGTATTTAATTTCCTCTAAAGTACTTGTCTTTATGATGCTCTTATTGATTTTAATATCATGTTGTTTATCTGTTGTTGCTAGTGCACTGATTTCTGAATACTTATCCAGCAACTTTAGAATACATATTATTTGTTCCTTAATTAATTCCAATTACAGATAATTTTGGACTTTCTACATATTATCATCTGCAGAAGTTTTATGTATTCCTTCCCAACCCTTCTAACTTTCATTTTTTTCTTGCCTTATTGTATAGGTTATTTCCTCCAGAACAACGGTAAATAGCTGATGTCTATCTCATTCTCACTCTTGGGGAAAGCTATTGATTATTCACCATTAGAAACGATGCCTGCTCTTTTTGTAAATACTCTGTATTGTTATTTGTAAATAACTATTCGTTACTATGCCCTTTCTATTAATAATTTTGTAAATGTTCCCTTTTTTTTTTTCTAAATCACAAATGGGTGTTGTTTTTATCAATTGATTTTTCTGCACCTATGAAAATATCCATCAGAGTTTTCTAAATCAATGTGATGAATAATATTGAATTTTGAATATTAAAAACCACCCATACCATCTTGCAATTCATCCCCTTGGTTTAAATGTATCATACTTTTTACATTTCAGTGGATGCTATTTGTTACTATTTTAAGATTTTATATCTTGATCAGGAAAGATTGACATCAATTTATTTTCTTGTAACATATTCATGAGTTTACTACCAAAGTTATGCAAGTTTATAAAGGACTTTTTTTAAATCTTTGATTTCATATGTAATCATTTTTCTAAAAATTTATTTAATTCCAAAGGAATGTGTTCCTATCATCTAAAATGATGACAAATTACGCTATCCCTTTCATAAAGTTTTGTGTCTGTAGACCTACAGTACTGTCCTCTATTTCATTTTTGATACTGACAACTGCAGTTTTCTCCTTTTTTTCCTTAATTGCTTCATCTTACCAGATACTTACAGACTATTAATCTTATCAAAGAAACTTGGAGCTGTTTTATTATGTCACTTATCAATTTATTGTCCCTCAGCTCAAAGCCAGACCTCGTTGCTCAGCTCTGTGACGCAGTGCCCTTTGCCATCTGAGCCAGGTGAGCTGGGCTGGAGCGAGGGGCCTGCAGGTGCCCCAGGGACTCGGGTGGCCGGGCCCACAGCCTGAGGAGCTCCTCATGCCCTGACCTCGCTCTGCCCCGGCAGGAGAGCAGGCCTAGCAGGCCCGGGTTCCCGCTGAGCCAGATCTTCACCATCCAGCTCCAGCACACCACAGCCTGGCAAAGGCAGGCCCAGGACAGGCCAGCACTGGTCAAGCAGGCGGCTTGCTGTTTCTCGTGACCTCCAGAGATCGGAACCTCTGGGACTGCGGCGGGGGAGTATTCTCCTAGTTCCCTGCCTGTTTCCTCTTTGCACCCTGGAGGTTAGCAGCTCCTCTTTTTACCTTTCCCCCTTTTAGTAATCACTTTCTACTATTCTAGATGTGGGCAATAAAAGGGGGCCACATACTAAAAATCCACACCCAAAGCAACCACACAGGACGGTATGGAATTAAAACGTCCCAGCTGGAAACTAGTCACGTAACAAGGCCAGTGCCTTCCTTGACAAAGGTCATCCTCGCCCTTCACTGAGCCTGTCTATTGTCTCCTTGTACCCAGGACAGCATACCTTTGGAATATCTCGTAACTTCCTACCATGGCAGCGGCCACAGGACCCTCCGGATTGTTACTCACTAGTGTTTGTTGTTGACTGTCAACTCTCCACACCCACAAAGGTAAGTGAAGCATGTCTTTTCCTTTTCTCCGTCCCAGAGATTCCCGCCTCCCCCTATGCTTTCCCAGCTCCTCAGATGGCAATGTATGAAACAAGGTACAAACGCTTCTCTGGAGCATTTCCTCAGTCCTTTTGAGATTTTGCTTCCTGGGACTTGTCCACAGTTGGCTCAAATAAACTTACAAAATTCTCTTTAGGTCTGAACTTTCCTTACATTGAGACAGTTAACAATTCCTTGTATTAAATTATCCCAGTTCAGATAACAGGCTTAGCCATCTCAGGACTGAACTCTGAGGGATATATTTATTTTCTATATTATATGTGGTTCTTAAGTCACTGATTTTGCAGTTATCTTTATTTCCTTCCTTCCGTTTTTCTGGGTGTGTTTTTTTTCTTTACTTAAGAAGAAGGCCAATGGCATTTGTCCTTGCCACAAATCTTTACATGACATTTGCATTCTACTCCAGAACATACACTCATTAGGACTGTTTGTGCGGCCCTACTTTACAACTAACATTAATGGCCATATTTCCCGGGACTCTCAGAAGTATTCCATTAGTCAAGACAGGAGACTATATTTCTATTTGTAGGACACAACACCCGGGATGGAGGCGACGGCTAAATGTGTCTTCTGTGCAAGCCTTTCATCTACTCATTTTCTTAAGGTCCCACCAAGTAAACACACCCACAGGATAAAAACATCCTCAGAAAAAGTTATGAAAGCATCTCCAAAACAAAACATGAAAAGGCAAAAAGTTAAAGAGGCAACACACCTGTACTCATTAGTATAGTCGAAATCTTGCTTATTATGAGTTGGCTTTAGGAAATTACACTCTATAATTCCCACCACTCCAACACCCATGTTGTTTGCCTGGAAAAGAAAATGAAATTGGCATTTTAAGCATAAGACATGAAGCCAACATTATTACCCCTCCATAAAGATTTATAATTTGTATCCAACGTTTTCCTGTATTTTATCTCATGAAATTTAGCCTGAGAAACATCGTCCGGTAGGGTAATTCACTTTTCTGGGAGTTACTTCCTATGTATAGTAGAGCCTTCCTCCAAAACCACAGCCACTGTTGCCAAGTATTCCTCTAGACAAGTATTATCACCCCAATTTTACACAAAGGAAAAAAGACCACTCTGCTGGGATACAACTTCTTAGCAGTAGAAACCACAACTAAGCAAAGGCTCCGGCCCTTAATACTCCATGTTTATTTAAGGTTAGCGTTTTAAAATTAAACTCATTTATCCCAAGTTACACATCCAGTTGTTAATGGCAATGAAGTGAAAATCTACATCAGTAAAAATTATTTTTTAATTTTTATTCTGCTAGCTAAAATACTGAACTCAAAGCACAAGTCATATTCTGATTATCTACATGTGATTATCAAGTATATTTTGTTAATTTATAGTAACAAATATTTTTGTAATATTTTGATTGTAGTTTACTTCTCTTTTTTTAATATATCTATTGATTTCAGAGAGGAAGGGAAAAGGAGAGAGAGGAAAAAAAAACATCAATGATGAGAGAGAATCATTGATCAGCTGTCTCCTGCATAACCGGCACTGGGGCGGGTCGAGCCCACAACCGGGCATGTGCCCTGACAGGGAATCGAACCGTGACCTCCTGGTTCATAAGTCAATGCTCAACCACTGAGCGATGTCAGCCAGGCATAACTGTAATTTACTTCCAAGTTGACATACAAAGTGAAAGAAAATATAACTTACAAAATGAGATTTTCATAAATATAATACCGGTGGTGCAAAAGTATGGTTATAGTTGTGAGTACAAGAAACAGAGTTTATTCTTTTTTAAACAATATATTTCTTTATTGATTTCAGAGAGGAAAGGAGAGGGAAAGAAAGATAGAAACATCAATGATGAGAATCAATGATCACCTACCTCCTGCACACCCCCTACTGAGGATTGAGCCCACAACCAGAGCATGTGCCTTTGGCCAGAATCGAACAGGGGACTCTTCAGTCCACAGGCTAATGCTCTATCCACTGAGCCAAACCAGCTAGGGCCAAAGTTTATTCTTATATTATTTATGAATTTCTTATGGCTTACTGTACTGTTTTCCAGATGAACAACTGTACACCCACTATTGCCCACCCTGGAGATGAAACCATATAAATGTAAGATAACCCTACTCCATGAACAACCATCAGTGATCCTACTCTCACACACTTGTAAACCACCCTTCAATCTGTAGTTCGTTCCACCTTCTTTCCAACCTCATCTTCCTCTCTCTCCCATCACTCTTTCCCACTTATCACCTAATGCAAGCACAGCACACTACTCCCTTAGTGATGGCATCATCTCAGAACCTCATTTCCCTTCCTCTGAAGGTCATGTTCTCTGCCTGGAAGGCCCTGCCAGACTTCCACCCAGGAGTCACCGAGACTCATGTCAACCATGTTTCTCCAAGAAGCTTCCTCAGATGCTTGTGTCTGACCAGCTCTCTGTGCTGAGATCCAGCACAGAAAATCACACCACTGTCTGACACCCCTACTTAATCACCCCTACTTAGGGGTGTCAGATGGAAGGCAAATACTAGCACCAATCCATCATCTGGTAATTAATTAATTAATTAATTAATTAATTAATTAAAAGTTGGTTGTAAAGACTATTTTGTGCAGGGCCAAGCATAACCATAAATTACACATATGCAAATTTAACTGAGTGGGAAAATGGCTATGTCTCTTAAGTCAAATTCGTAAGTGGTAAACGAAAAAAGAATTTACATTCCTGTGGCAGGTACAATTATTTCTTTTGAATCCCAAAGCACTTGATAACTAAGGCCTATTACCAAAAATGCATTTCCAATTACCAGTAAGATTCAGAAACTTGTGGATATAAAGAGCCCGACATTCATTTACTTTTGCAAAAATGCTCTACTCTGAGCTTGTGCCGTGAAAATATGTAATCAAGATACAACCCGTTGACTAACATTCAAGTTAAACCCATACTATCATACTATGTAGAGCTCATATTATTTCACGAAGAATTCAGAATGAAATAAGATAAATGAAAAAAAGAGGAACACCTATAATAATCTGATTAAAGATTTTATATAGAAAAATAAGATAAATTGAAAATGGAAGTCATAGAATTAGAAAACAAAATATGCCTAGACATAAGAGCTTTAAGAAGATGGTTTTCAGAATTGATCACTGAATTAACACACAAACACCAACAGTAACAAAACACCTTCCTGTGAACACATGTAAAGGACAAACAGAATGCATGGGACAATGTCCATCACCCGAAACTGAACTCTACAATGGATATGGCTTAGGAGGAAGGCTCTATTTTATTTAGGAACTAACTCCAAAAAAGTAAATCACCTACCAGATCCTGTTTTTTCAGGCTATTGAGTCAGCACTAGTGAAAGCAACCAATTTCATTCCAGCAGGAAATGAGCAGGGATCCAGATCCAAATGCATCAAAAGGTCTGCATGGTGAGGCCTAGGGCATGTTACTGAGCCCGGTAACTCATCTGTAAAACAGACACACAGCATTCTGTCCCCTCATAACATGACTCAGGATAAAATCAGAAACGAGTATCCCAGGATTCTAAGTTCAAAAGCCACACCAACACTATTAAAACACCGAAATGTAGAAGCCATTAGGCAGAAAGCATGTAATTTCACATCTGCCCCAAATAACAAGTTATCCTAACGTATGAAAGACAGACATTGCCTGCTTACCTTTAACTGATATCCAACTTTTTCATAAGCTTTGATGAGTCTGTTTTTATGATACATCATTATCCCATAATGTTCTTTATTTTTGCAGTTGAATCCGAAAGTAATTTTCACTGTTCTCGTCTTAAAAGTTAAGGAAAATTCTGAACACATCACCCCCCTCCCTTCAAGTCATCCTTTCTATTTCATCAGTTACTGAGTGTGAAGGTACAGAAAAAAAGGGCAGTTAGAGAGGCCAGAGCAGTATGAGGAGAAGAGGAACGGTGTAGGGGAGTACACAACTAATACAGCTCTGGACGACATCAGAGAGAAAATAAAAGGATACTAGAAACTTTGGTCGATAAACATCGTGCTCAATGTAAGCAAGACTCTTCGAAACTAGTTGTGTCTTCACTTTCTGTCCACGTAAGATGATCTGCATTCTTGGCTTTAGATATAATATACTGCAGTAAGCCTGAAAAGACACGAAACAGTATGTTTTTTTGAAATAATTATCGATAGCTTTGTTCAACACCACTTACACATGCATTTAAAAAGAAGCTGCCGACTTACTTCATAAAGGACCATTAACTCCAATAAAATATGCACTCTATATACTTTTCACTGAAAATAAATTCAGCATATTACAGCCAGTAAAAATTCTGCAGAAAACAATCTATTGACCTATGTTGATATGTTAAGTGAAAAAGTTACAAACTAGCATGTATGGTATCTCATTTCAATTTTTAAAAATGTATACATGTAGCCCTAACTGGTTTGGCTCAGTGGATAGAGCGTCGGCCTGGGACTGAAAGATCCCAGGTTCGATTCCGGTCAAGGGCATGTACCTTAGTTGCAGGCATATACCCAGTAGGTGTGCAGGAGGCAGCTGATCGATGTTTCTCTTTTATTGATGTTTCTAGCTCTCTATCCCTCTCCCTTCCTCTCTGTAAAAAATCAATAAAATATATTTTTAAATGTATACATGTACATTTTCTGACTCTTCTGTCAAGTACATATCTATCAATATAATAGATGAATATGCAAACTAGCCAGGACGCTGTAACATCATGACGGAACAGCAGAGACCTGAGGCTGCATGGTGCCTAGCCGGGCGAGGGACCTCAGGCCACATGCCCCGCCCTGTAGAGCTTGGTTGGGAGCTTTGGGCCACGCTCCCTGCCCCAGGCTGGGGGACCTGAGGCTGCACCCCCTGCTCAGAGGGCCTCACAAGGTGAGGCCAGCCACGTCTGTGTCTCACACAATGGGGGTGTGGCTGGCTAGGTCTAGGTCTCCTGCGTTTTTGAAGTTCATGTGGGTAGTGGGCGGGGACGACTCTAGGTCTCATAGCGTGCCCCAGACTCTGACAGGACGGAGATTTTCATATACATTTTACTAATTTTCTTTCATCTCTGACATTTCTATTATAGAGAAAGGGCAAATAACAATATTAAAATACTTGCTCTAATTAATTCCCTTTCAATGTGCACAAATTTCGTGTTCTAGGCCACTAGTATAGCTATAATTTTAAAAAGTTTTATTGACAAAACAGGTTTGGCTCAGTGGATAGATCGTTGGTCTGTGGACTGAAGGGTCCCAGGTTCAATTCCCAGGTACCTTGGTTGCGGGCACATCCCCAGTAGGGAGTTTGCAGGAGGCAGCTGGTCAATGTTTCTCTCTAGTTGATGTTTCTAGCTCTCTATCCCTCTCCCTTCCTCTCTGTTAGAAATCAATAAAATATATTTTTTTTTAAAAACAAGTTTTATTTAGACAAAAATAAACATAATAAAAGGGACAGTTTGAAATTGGAAAAGGAAAAAATCCTTATATATATATTAAGAGCCTAATCCTTATATATATGCAAGTCGATCTAACAGCAGAAGGACCAGTTGCTATGACACACACTGACCACCAGGGGGCAGATGCTCAACGCAGGAGCCACCCTCAGTCCACAGGACAACCAAGGTGGGTGCCAGTAGGTCTACCCCCGAACCCTGATTGCCCCACAGATCAGCTCTGATTGCCGTCCACGCCTAGGGACCCTACCCGTGCACGAATATCATGCTTTTATTATATAGGATTGTTATACGAGATATTAATTTTCTCAATCACAACAACATAAACATTTCTCAGGTCGTTTTTCAGAGATATTTATAACAAAATTATATTAATGTATGTTATCTCTAGTCTATACACAATTTATTGCTTTAGGATGTCAATGCCTGTATATTCTTGAGTATTTTAAATTAAAAAAGAAACTCTGACTTTGATATTTTTGATCGAGTAATCAATATGGCCATAATAGGATACTCTTATCCCATTATTTCCCATTTAAATCATTTAACCACATAGGGAGAAAATGACAGTGCTAGACCTGATGACTTCACAATTAAAAACTGTTTCTAAGCAAATAAAACCCCAGTGTGCTCCTGCTGGCGCATGTCTGAGACTCTGCATCAGAGGCCAATGGTAGCATTTGTAACTAGTGGGCAACGTGTCTTCCATTATCTGATACTTTCCTCACTTCTCCAGGGCCTGGTACATACCCGCAGGGAGTAGTCACTTTCTGGGGCGATTTGGTCCATCCTCTCTTGCTTCTTGTACCCTTTCTTCCCTGTTGTCTCATCTAAATCCTCTGGAATTCTGATGTCATATTTATCCTTCTCAAAATCAAACTCCGTTGCACTTTTGTAGCTATAAAATTAATTTTTTGAAGGAACAAAATTTTAACTTCATAACAAGATAAGCAAAGAAATACTACTTAGCAAAACACCTATATCCATGCAGGCACTATAGCGGTGGTGGTGGTAAAATAAAATGAAAGAAAGGAATCTGAGAAATGAAAAAGTAAATAAATAACACCTTTATTCGCACACATTGCTAGTGGGAAAATCAAATGGTAGAGCTACTTTGAAAAACATTCTAGCAGTTTCCTAAAAAACTAAACGAGCAACTCCCTAAGACCCATCAATTACACACGGCTGGTCATTCACTGTAGAAAATGCAGACTGGCCCTAGCTAGTTTGGCTCAGTCAGTGAATAGAATGTCAGCCTGTGGACAAAAGGGTCCCAGGTTCAATTCCGGTCAAGAGCATGTACCTTGGTTGCGGACACATCCCCAGTAGGGGGTGTACAGGAAGCAGCTAATCGATGTTCTTAACTCTCTACCCTTCTCCCTTCCTCTCTGTAAAAAATTAATAAAACATATATTTTTAAAAAGAAAATGCAGTCTATATTCCCACAAAAACCTGTCCACAAATGTCTAGAGTAATGGCCAACAACCCAGATGGCCTTCCCAGGTGCCTGGTTAGACACCCTGTGCTCCACCCACACGGACTTCTCCTCAGCAAGAAAAGGAAGCAAACTACTGCCGCCCCGAGGACCTGCATGGACCCCCGGGACTCGTGCTGAGTGAAAGAAGCCAGTGTCACACTGTGATTCCTTTTATGCGCCATTCCTGAAACGGAGAATGAGGGCCGCCCAGGATGCAGGAGAGAAGGGCTGTGGACATAAGGGCAGCCCGAGGCCCCTTTAGTGATAAACACCCCGCACAATGCCTGCAACGGTGTGCTTTGGAGACGTTCCCCCTGGGGGAAAGAGGTCAGTGATGCAGGAGATCTGTCATATTCTTACAATTGAGCATGAATTGCAATCATCTTAAAATAAAATAAAAAGTTTAAACTGAAAAGAAAAATGGGAGGAGGGACAGGGAAGCAAAAGAAAAAAGAAAAGAAAAAGGGAATACAGGAGGTCAGAAAAGCACAGATTTAACATAATTTTAGTTTACCATTATTTGTCTTTTATTCCTATGGTTCAGTATGTAATAGATATCTCAATATTACATTCATCCTAACTTTTAAAACTTTTATTTGCAATGGATCTTATTCCCATTACAAGGACAAAGAACTACAATTTCAGCAACAGAAGTCTCACCAGTATTTTTTCTCACCAGATGCTAGGTCATGCTTAGCTTTAAGTAATGGACTAAATGGACAGATTTCTCTGTTAATAGGTGGGTTTCATTGTCTCATTTGTTTTGAAGAGGGGGTGGAATAACAGTAAGAAAAGAGTGCTATGGAGACTAAACCTCAAGGCGAGGAAATTTATTTTTAATATGAAACTATTCCAAATTGAAGCCAAAGTGGCCTCAATAAAACACCCTTGGGAAGAAATCATGAACTACACCAAAAAACAAGCCCCTTTCAATGCAGTTCTCCTCTGTCTGACCATCCGGGGATGAAGGTAACACAATCACTCCTGCCCGTGCCCTTGACCGCCCCCATGGTTACCAACCCGCAGTGTCTATACTTACCTTCTAAGGTTCCAAATGATGATCCTCGTCCCCTTCTTCCCCATAATAGCATCCAGTTCTGCCAGTAAACTCTGCTCCGTACGAAACAGAGAATGCTTCATAATCGCAGCCAGGCTTGCCCCTGATTCCGCTAAATTAATCATCTGGCGTATATCCTAAGTTAAAGACTTAGACCGAAACATATTTTCCACAAGTGCAATATGAAAACCAACTCAAACTTCAAATGGCAGTCTTATTTCAAATGAATACCCACAGTGAAGTATGGGCAAGTTCATTACACTTAATTTAATGGTTCCAATGTTTGAAATGTGGTTATAAGAGGATATTTCCTAAAGATATCTTATTTGTCATGGTAATTAGTGAAATTTTCAAGCCGGACCACAAGTCCCATCAGAGCACAGTAAGACTGAAACAAAGAGGAAGACTACAGAAGCTCAACTTGAAAAGCAACCGCCTAACAGTTAAGGACTTCCACGGCAACATTCCCGCAGAGAACAGAGGAACACTTAGCCGCAGACACAGGCAGAGGCAGGGACAAGAATAGGAGCCAGAAGGGAAGAATCTGGAGGAAGGCAAAAGGATAGAAGGATTCACACTATTTCTTCAGAGTTTCTAAATCGTTTCCATTTCAAAACCAAAAGGATATGGTGTTGGTTGAAGGCCACTATTGGGACAACAACATGTTCTGCTTGTATGGCTTCCAAGTAGGTCTGAGACAAGAGGCCCACGCTCATGGTTTCTCCATTTTTGGTGAAAACAATTGCATCTTTACCCAAACGCATGGAACCGGACTTGAAACCATTCCCGTACAATCCCACTGGGACATGACCGTTCACGGTGACTTTGTCACTGAAGCCAAAGCTAAAGAGAAAAAGACAGATTTAAAAAATAAATATGGATAACCATGTTTTTAATTCAAAAACTGTAATAGGTGAAGAGCCTAGTTTTGTAGGTTGGCGTCATCCTCCCTAGATCTATAATCTTGGGCAAGTAACTGCTAAGCTGCCTTGGAATGTCTCCCTGCCTCTGAAACAAAGGAGACAAAGTCTACATCATAGGGGTGTGAGGACCACACCCACCAAAAGGGAAGCGTGTGGCTGAATGGCCGGTTACAATGTTAGTGCCTGGGCCCCTGAAATCGCTCCTGTCAGTGCGGAGGGTTCTCTTGTTCTCAGCACGCCTTCCTAGTATGTTTACAGACGGGGCGGCCTTGGCTTTCTGGCAGCATAAGGAGTGTTTGAGGAACAGTAAAAGACCTCTACTACCGAATCCTCCCCTACCCTGTACCTGTGGCTGGCATCCCATACTGTGACCCTAGAGCCCAAGGCCTTATGACTCTTTTCTGCTGCTTCCTCACGGTCTGAAGAATCCCTTTAAAAACCTCCCAAAGCGGTAAGTTTCGTTGGAAATACTGGTTAAAACTAATTTACACGAAAGAATAATGAACTGATACCAGTGTGCTACAGCGCTACAAATGGTGGAATTCTAGGCTGGGTAGGACCTGGGGGGAATGAGGAGGAGAATGGTAAGGATTGCCTAATAACCTAATAGTAGAAATGAAGTAAAACTTAGAGAACAGAGCACACTGCCAGTTTTTAACAAACGAAAACTATGGGCAAGAATACAACACATGAAACCCGTGAACTAGGTAAAAGCAATGGTTTTAAGAAATGTGACACTTTCACATACCTTAGCATTTTATGTAATTTATCTGAAGTCATACCATTGCCATTATCAGTGAAGGTCAAGCATATGTGCTTATCTATCACTGTTTTGTCAATCCAGATCTGTTTAGCATTCACGTCAGGATCGTATGCATTATCTGAAAAACAAAATTTGGGAAATTCTGTTTTCATTTTTTAAAAACACAACTAGTTCAGGACAATCTTTTAACAAACAACAGAATAACATATTTTAAGAACATTTAAAAAGTTGAAATGTTAACCTCTGAGATTTAAAAACATAAAACTACAGCATTTACCCTGCTATATATCGCTCACTGACAATGACAGAATTAACTCTTTCCGAAGCCCTCCACACAGAGCGAGTCCTGGTCCTCCTGACACTGGGCAAGTACAAAAGCAGGCCTGGCTGTCCACAGAGATAAGCAAGTTAAGAAGGTCTGCCCACAGACCAGCCTGGCCCTCTATCACCGGGAGCTGAGCGCTGGTGGCAGCTAGCACTCGAGCTGATGTAGAAGGGACACAGTTTCTGCTAAGTTGCAAACACAGATGAAGGTTTACCTTCTACAGAGTTCTTCAAATGTGTCTCTTTTCAATAAAGAGAATATTACAGGCCCCAAACCGTGTTCCTTGTGCTAAAAAACTGATACCAGCCCTCGCTGGTTTTGCTCAATAGTTAGAGCATCGGCCTATGACTGAACATTTCAGGTTAAATTCCAGACAAGGGCACGTATCTCAAATGACCCTTCCCTCACACTGAAGTTTCTCTCTGTCTCTCCCCATCCCTTCCACTGTCTCTAAAAATCATTGGGAAAAATATCATTCCCAACTATTAAAAACATACTACTAATTTCTTAAAGATCTAGTTCTTTTATAAACAGAATAAAAATATTTCCAACATAAATACTTTATGAATTCAGTCAATTAAAATACTTTGAAGTAGTATAGTAAAGTTGAACAGTGATCAATTTGACTAATCTGACATCCATATGAATAACTGTCATGCTAGGTAACTTTTACCCACAATGTTCTCATTCAAGATACATTTTTTTTTTAATAAAGCACATTTATATAATATTTTTCAATGAATTTTTTTTAAACTTCAATTGCGAGCAATAGGTTACATATGAAATGTCAGTTTTACATACCTATTAATTCAGCAACTGCACTGAATGGCCAAGTGTGACTGGTGGAATTGGTATGTAAAAACTTCGGGCAGAGCTGGAAAAAAACCCATGATTCATGTAAATTAATGCAGGTCTCACTTTTAGGAACAGAAACTGAGAGAAAAATTCTGCGGTTCTAAATAAAATACAGTGAGCGAGAGAGTGAAAGGAACCAGTCCAGGCTGTGGACCCACTCCCAGCAGACGGCTCGCACTCCTGCCTGGGCGCTGGAGGTGGCATCACCTTCTGCAACATCCTGCCAGTGCCCGGGCTTTCCTACGGCTCCCCACAGCCAACCAGTGTCAGCTCCTTCCTTACAGGCTGGCACCACCCAGGACGGGCGGCCCGCTTCACCTTCCCCACCCAGCCTGCCTACAGCCAGTGCGAACGCCTTCCAAACAACTTCACTGTCTTTCCCGCCGCACCGCCGTCACCGCCAGGCTGAGCACATGTCCGCCTTCTCCGCCTGGCCTGTGCTGGTGGCAGAGACTTCCTGCCCAGGACCTGGTCCTTTCCTGCCGGCTTTTGGCTCAATAAACCCTTCCTTTCAGAAAAGCTTTCAGCCAGGGGAATTTTTTATTTGTTTATCAATGTAATTTTCTGTCCTTTCATTAAACATTGAGACCTAGACCCAATAAAAGTAACGTGGCTGGCCAAAACCGGTTTGGCTCAGTGGTAGAGCGTTGGTCTGCGGACTGAAAGGTCCCAGGTTCCGGTCGGGGGCATGTGCCTTGGTTGCAGGCATATCCCCAGGGAGGGGTGTGCAGGAGGCAGGAGATCGATGACTCTCTCATCGATGTTTCTGACTCTCTCTATCCCTATCCCTTCCTCTCTGTAAAAAAATCAATAAAAAAAAAAAATTAAAAAAAAGTAACACTGGCTGCTTCTTTCAGGATGTACCTGGGAAGTAATACCTAGAAGATAAGATTCCTGGAAGATAAGACTGTTAATCATGGAGTTTACTCATCAAGACTTCCTTCAAAACCCTTGCCTCCTAATATCCACCAACCCAAAGCCATAACATCAAAAACTGCCCAATCCCTTCAGAGCAGCCAGGCCCGGAACAGCTCGCTCCTCGCCTGCCCCTGCCCCACGGCTGCCTCTCAGACATGGCTGGAAACTTTTGGGGGAACTTGAGGGTCTGCTGAATCACGTGATGAAGGCTTAGATCTGGATGTGTTGAGTTAGTATAGGGCTGGGGTGTTGATCTGTGAGTGCCTTGGGTGGGGCCTGGATGAGGCTGGTGGACCTATTGGGAAATGTCTTTTGTGTGAAGTGTATCATTGGGCATGTGGAGGTATTATTGATATGAGAAAATGCTAAGTAACTGATTTACTATCTGAAAAGGGATTTACTATCGGGGAAAGGGAGGGAGGAAGAGACTGAACATAAACTGTGCACCTATGGATGAGGACAATGGGGGATGGGAGGAGGCGGAGGATAGGGTGGGAACCTGGTGGAGGGGGGAAGAAATGAGGAACCTTTGTAATAATATGAACAATAAAGATTGATTTAAAAAAAAAAATTGCCCAATCCCAAAGTTACCAACCTTGCAAGACTCTCCTCAAAATTACCCACCAAGGTTTCCTCATCTCTACTGTGGCACCACTAAGGCCGTGTCAGGGGTGTTTTCCACTTAGGGCCCTGAGGCCTAACAAACCTAGCTCTGCTCTTTAACCCACAGGCTTTTCTGGTGCTCTCCTGAAAGGTCATCATAGATGTACTTACAGCAGTAGTTACATCTATAAACCCTTCAAACAATGTTCAAATGCAACAAACCTTCACTGGCAAGGATTTTATGTTTGATTTAATTCACATTAATAAAGTGTGAGAGAATGTGCCAATCAACCTCACGAACAGGGATCTCTGCATTGCTGAGTAATGTAAATATCCACTGTGTAAACACGCACAAGTGGCTTTAAAAGGCTGAGGCTTGAATACTTCAACATGCAGAGACTGCGACGAGGACGTTAGCATTCACTGTGAACAGATTCCATCCTATTTAAGGGGGAAAAGAGAGGCACCTCAGTGTTTCCTAGGAAGAGCCTGGAAATGTGATTTGATTATAAATCAAATCGGCTACAGGTGTCAGAGAGGTCTGCCCCTCTGTCCACACTAGGTTTTGGATAATCGCCAAGAACTCGTTTGGCATTGGGTTGAAGTACACTGTGAGATGGTGTCCCGGCTGGAGGCTGCATACTTTGGACCTGCTGCAGCATGCATCCATGCCATGAGGGACATAAGCAATCAGACTTCCCAAAGCACACGTCACAGAGCCAGCCCTGCATGAAAACCAATGTCCAGACTTCCGTCTTCTCCCACCAACCTACCTGAGGATGCGCCAGCACTCATGGTCCCCGCTCCTTGCTCAACTACCATTCTACAATTTATATTTTAAATGGCATATTGCTCCACCTTTCTAAATCTTACCATGGGGCATGGCATTAGGGTATAAAACCTTTAGCTTCCAAAGAAGAGTGTGATTAACCAACCACCATGAACCCCTAGGGTTTGCCTCTATTTCATGCATTTCTGTCAGGTGTGAAATCGGGAGTTAGCCAGTGGGGCCCATGTTAAATACTTCGGTTTTCGATGTAAGGCATAGTGTGATGGTGGGAATGTTAAATTTTATTTAATGACTTCATCATATACATAGGCTCCAAAGTGACACAATACAAAATGTTACTGAGTAAGAGTCCCAGGAGATCAGAGCAAAGAAGGAATCAGTGAGAAACAAGGAATGCTAAACAGTAGCCTTTTGGTTATTGAATCATGGCAATTTTCAACTATTTTTTAAAATATTTTATTGATTTTTTTATAGAGAGGAAGAGAGAAGGATAGAGTTAGAAATATCAACCAGCTGCCTCCTGCACCACCCCCACTGGGGATGTGCCCACAACCAAGGTACATGCTCTTGACCGGAATCGAACCCGGGGCCTCCCAGTGCGCAGGCCAACGCTCTATCCACTGAGCCAATCCGGTTTTGGCTCAACTATTTTTTATACTAACTGGAAAGAAAACCACTTGAACAGCCAAAACAGCAGTGTAACACACACACACACACACACACACGTACACATACACACATACACACACACACACACACACACACACACACACACACACAAGCAGACCATGATGAGGAATGTATTAAGTGTATGATCCTGGGCAGTAAAATTAACCTCTGTGCTTCAAGCTGTAAAAATAAGGTTAATGGTATCCACTTACAAGATTAAGAAGAATTAAATAATTTAGTATTTGTGAATGCTTAGGATATCTGGAACATAAGCATTACAAGTGTTTTAAAAATGAATTGCTTTAGCCCTGAATGGTTTGGCTCAATGGATGGAGCGCCAGCCCTTGGACTGAAGGTTCTCAGGATCGATTCCTGGTCAGAGCACCTGCCCAAGTTGCGGGTTTGATCCCCAATAGGAAATGTGCAGGAGGCAACCAATCCATGATTCTCTCTCATCATGGATGTTTCTATCTCTCTCTCTCTCTCTCCCTTCCTTCCTGGAATCAATTTTTTTTAAATATATATTTTATTGATTTTGTACAGAGAGGAAGGGAGAGAGATGAGTTAGAAACACTGATGAGTCATCGATCAGCTGCCTCTTGCACACCCCTCACTGGGGATGTGCCCGCAACCAAGGTACGTGCCCTTGACCAGAATCGAACCCTGGACCCTTCAGTCCCTAAGCCGACGCTATATCCACTGAGCCAAACCGGTTTCGGCTGGAATCAATTTTTTAAAAAATATATCCCTATAAAGGCACAACTAATTCATAAAAATAAGGAAAATCCTTAAGGACTTCAAGTAGAGAAGATGAGATTAAGAACAAAACTAAGATTTGAAAATGGGATGCACTGCAGGTTAGATGGGGTGCTTACAGGGAACACAGGGTTTCCATTTTAATGGCGACCCTGTGACTGACCTGGCAGAAAAGCAGCACACACTGACCCTCCCGCCCCTCGATGAAGAGACAGGAAGGAGGGAATCTGCCTATTGCAGTTTGTCTGTCCTGGTCTAAACTCCAGGTCTGAAAGGAAAAAGCATACCATGAAGATCTGCTGCAGAGCAGCCTTCGCCTGCGTGCCTGGGTTGCAGAGCAGCCCGGCTTATATAACCTGCAGATTACTGTGCAGACAGCGCCCCAGCCAGACAGCGCAGATCCCCGGGTCGTTATTCGGGGATATTTGGCACATCTAAAATAACACTTCAACCCACCAGGAGAAAACATGACCCTCCCCCCTCTAACTACTAGGGAAAAGACATCGCCCTACAAAACAGATAGCCCTTTAGATCACTACACATTTATTTATGTTTTTTAACTATATTTTATTGATTTTTTACAGGAGGAGAGAGGAATAGAGAGCTAGAAATGTCGATTAGAAACATCGACCAGCTGCCTCTTGCACACCCCCTACTGGGGATGTGCCCGCAACCAATGTACATGCCCTTGACCGGAATCGAACCCGGGACCTTTCAGTCCGCAGACCGACACTCTACCACTGAGCCAAACCGGTTTCAGCTAGATCACTACACATTTAAAAAATAATTTCCAAAACAGGCGTGTGCTCGCACACCCACACCCACACACACACACACACACACACACACACACACACACGAGATGTGATGAAAATCACACAGATTTTTTTTTTAAATCAATAGTCACCCGAAACCGGTTTGGCTCAGTGGTGGCCTGCGGACTGAAAAGTCCCAGGTTTGACTCCGGTCGGTTAGGGGCATGTACCTTAGTTGCGGGCACATCCCCAGTAGGGGGAGTGCAGGAGGCAGCTGTTCGATGCTTCTCTCTCATCTATCCCTCTCCCTTCCTCTCTGTAAAATATCATTAAATTTTTTTTTAAATCAATAGTCACAAACTAAATAAATTCTTTGTATTTGTATTGATTTTTAGGGAGAGGGATAGAGAGAAGCATCAATGAGAAAGGAACTCCACTGATGAGCTGCCTCCTGTAAGCCCCCTCCTGGAGGATCGAACCGGCAGCCCAGCCATTTCCCTGATTAGAAATCGAATGAACTCGATCCCT